AATTGTCAGTCACGTGACGCTCGACACAACTGCAGTTCCAGCTGAATCTCAAAATTAGGCCGTTATTAGCAGTCCATATTGTATACTGTTTTCCTAAGTTTGAATCCCAGTCGGCACAGGGCCTTTCCGTGTGGAGTTTGCATGCTCTCCCAGTGTCTGCATAGGTTTCTTTCGTGTACTCTGGTTTCCCCTACCACTACAAACATATGAAATAAGTCCGGCATGCGTAAGTATGGCGACATCATTCCCAGCTCTGTGTGGAGTGAAAGACAACTGCCCAAAAAAAAATGTGTAAAGCGCTTTGTGATTCTGGTCTGTAAAAGGTGTTACATAAAGATTACTTACTTACTTTCTTTTCAAATCCATTGTGGCGGTGCACAGTCAAACATGTGACAATTGTGAGAAAATAACATATAACCCCATTGTTGAAAGCCTGTTATTATTGTGCATCTCAGAGCGGAAAGTGCTCCTCTATCCTGTCAATCTTATAGCTGTACAGATAACCATGGCAACAGTGCTGTAAAGGCAGAGCTACTGAATCTTCTGGTGAAATAGAAAGGTACAATTTAAGATTAATGTAAGACTCCTACGACCCCACTTATCCCAATTAATGCATTATACATTTGCATCAGTGCATAGGTCGGTGGCTTCTTTGCGTTAACTGCCCAGAATGCATTAGTAAATTAAATGCAATTTATTTGTTTTACATTATTCAAAGTGTTAGACGATGTCAAAGGCACATTAAACACTATACGAACCACTCACTGTAATAAATGTAAAATGTAAAATAAAGTGAATTATGCGTTATTGATGCTTAAGGCTTGGAAGGTTCTTCTAATAAGTGGGAAAAAGCTTGTACTTCTAAATTACCTGGAATGTTTCAGTTTTTAAGCAGTAGCTAAGCAGTCCTAGCTTGGATGGGCGGCACGGTGGCTGAGTGGATAGCACTCTAGCCTCTCAGCAAGAAGGTCCTGGGTTCAAATCCCGGCCGGACCAGGGCCTTTCTGAGTGGAGTTTGCATGTTCTCCCCGTGTCTGCGTAGGTTTCCTCCGGGTACTCCGGTTTCCCCTACCACTAAAAATATGTCCAATAGTTCTGGCATGTGCCTCCTGTACCAGCCCCGCTCCCATCTCTGTGTGGAGTGAGAGACAAATGCCCAAAATTAACAATTGTAAACCGCTTTGAGACTCAGATCTGCAGTGAAAAGGCGGTATATAAATAAAAAACTTACTTACTTACTAGCGTCCTCGCACTTTTGTTTCATTAGAAGCACCTTCAAAAACCTCACTCGCTGTAAGCAAGTAATCTTCATTTACATAGCGCCTTCCTCTGTTGAAGTACCAGGGTCACAAAGCGCTTTACAATTGTCGGCATTTGTCTCCCACTCCTATTGTACTGTACATGTTTTTAGCGCTAGGGGAAACCGGGGCACACGGAGGAAACCGGAGCACACGGAGGAAACCTACACAGACACCGGGAGAATATGCAAAGCCCACTCAGAAAGGCACTGTTCCGATTCTAAACCAGGACCTTCTTGCTGAGAAGCGTGAGTGCTATCCAACTGTCCAACTGTAGTTCCGGAATAATACACTCCAAAGCTAAAAATCACAGTTAACATCAACGATTAAACACAGATTGTAAAAGATCAGTGCTCTGTATTAATATGTGTTTTGACAGATACAAAGGAGGCTCTTATGTGATGGGAAAAAAATTGAAAATGATACGATTCACTTAATAGACCTTCTAATTTTGTATCAGCTGTGAAAAAAGAAGTGTGGGTGTATTGTTGCTGTATGCTGTTGCTGTGATAGTGTGAGTGTCAGTGTCAGTGTGAGTGTCAGTGTGAGTGTCAGTGTCAGTGTGAGTGTCAGTGTGAGTGTCAGTGTGAGTGTCAGTGTGAGTGTGAGTGTCAGTGTGAGTGTCGGTGTGAGTGTCAGTGTGAGTGTGAGTGTCAGTGTCAGTGTGACTGTCAGTGTCAGTGTCAGTGTGAGTGTGAGTGTCAGTGTGAGTGTCAGTGTGAGTGTCAGTGTGAGTGTCAGTGTGAGTGTCAGTGTGAGTGTCAGTGTGAGTGTGAGTGTCAGTGTGAGTGTCAGTGTGAGTGTCAGTGTCAGTGTGAGTGTCGTGTGAGTGTGTGAGTGTGAGTGTCAGTGTGAGTGTCAGTGTCAGTGTGAGTGTCAGTGTGAGTGTCAGTGTGTAGTGTCAGTGTCAGTGTGAGTGTCAGTGTGAGTGTCAGTGTCAGTGTGAGTGTCAGTGTGAGTGTCAGTGTGAGTGTCAGTGTGAGTGTCAGTGTGAGTGTGAGTGTGAGTGTCAGTGTGAGTGTCAGTGTCAGTGTGAGTGTCAGTGTGAGTGTCAGTGTCAGTGTGAGTGTCAGTGTGAGTGTCAGTGTGAGTGTCAGTGTCAGTGTGAGTGTCAGTGTGAGTGTGAGTGTCAGTGTGAGTGTCAGTGTGAGTGTCAGTGTGAGTGTCAGTGTCAGTGTGAGTGTCAGTGTGAGTGTGAGTGTGAGTGTCAGTGTGAGTGTGAGTGTCAGTGTGAGTGTCAGTGTGAGTGTCAGTGTGAGTGTCAGTGTCAGTGTGAGTGTCAGTGTGAGTGAGTGTGAGTGTCGTGTGAGTGTGAGTGTCAGTGTGAGTGTCGATGATGGATGTGTTCAGTGTGAGTGTCAGTGTCAGTGTAGTGTCAGTGTGAGTGTCAGTGTGAGTGTCAGTGTGAGTGTCAGTGTCAGTGTGAGTGTCAGTGTCAGTGTGAGTGTCAGTGTCAGTGTGAGTGTCAGTGTCAGTGTGAGTGTCAGTGTGAGTGTCAGTGTGAGTGTCAGTGTGAGTGTCAGTGTGAGTGTCAGTGTGAGTGTCAGTCAGTGTGAGTGTCAGTGTGAGTGTCAGTATCAGTGTCAGTGTGAGTGTCAGTGTGAGTGTCAGTGTCAGTGTGAGTGTCAGTGTGAGTGTGAGTGTCAGTGTGAGTGTCAGTGTCAGTGTCAGTGTGAGTGTCAGTGTGCAGTGTGAGTGTCAGTGTCAGTGTGAGTGTCAGTGTGAGTGTCAGTGTGAGTGTCAGTGTGAGTGTCAGTGTCAGTGTGAGTGTCAGTGTGAGTGTGAGTGTCAGTGTGAGTGTCAGTGTCAGTGTGAGTGTGAGTGTCAGTGTGAGTGTCAGTGTGAGTGTCAGTGTCAGTGTGAGTGTGAGTGTCAGTGTGAGTGTCAGTGTCAGTGTCAGTGTGAGTGTCAGTGTCAGTGTGAGTGTCAGTGTCAGTGTGAGTGTGAGTGTCAGTGTGAGTGTCAGTGTCAGTGTGAGTGTCAGTGTCAGTCTGAGTATCAGTGTCAGTGAGTGGGAATGTCCTTTTCTTCATTTAATTGCATGTTATTATATATTTATTACACTAGTAACCAGGAAGTGCAGATTAGAACTAGCTGTTTAGTTACAATCTGCTGCCGAACACCTCTCTATGAGCGTTATATATCTGTGTAAAGATTGTTGTAAGATTCCAAAAGCTTCGTAGTAAATTTATCTTTGTTCCTGATGCAGTTCAAACACTACACTGTTCTCTTATTGCTCCCGTATTTGACTCACAGTGTGGAAATATGGGGAATTCATTACAAATCGTTGCTATAATGCTTTCTGCTGCTGGACACCTGAGTTTCTCCTCAGCGGTATAAGTATTCTCTAAGCACTATGAATAAATCTATTCTATACGTCCATATACAGTATCTCATCTACAAAAAATGGGTAGTGCAGATTTTCCTCAAGGCAAAACGATTGTCAAAAATCCATAATCTTGCATAAATGTACACTGCACAGCTTGCTTTTACTGCATACCACAATGCATTTTCTCAGAATATTCAACAACTATTTAGCCAAAGGGAGCAGTCATAAAGTCTGTGGGGATGTGAGAACTTTACAGTCTCAAAGGTAAACAGCTCCAGGAGAAGTGTCTCTGTGTATGAGGCTGGAGCATTTCAAAGCCTGTGTCAAGTCTCTTTATAAAGTCGCCAGTACAGGAGGCGCATGCCATGTTTTTATTGGTAGGGTAAACCAGAGCACCCAGAGAAAACCTTTCGCAGACACAGGGAGAACATGCAAACTCCACTCAGAAAGGCCCTGTTACGACCAGGATTCAAACCCAGGTCAGGTGTTCATGTTTTTCTGCGTTCATGTCGGCAACTGCATTTATGTTGGTGATGTGATTTCACTCTTCTGGCATTTGTTGTTTCCTATTGTTGCTGTTTTTATGATTACATATATAGTTAATTTTTGTGTTTTCTGCTTTAAATGCGTCATAGCAAGCTTTTGATTTATGGGCTTTGTGATTGGTCATAAATCAGTCATTTTGTATTTGACTCACCTTGTATTCTCGGGCCTCCCCAGTGCTCACCCAGTCCACCACTGAGCACCCATCTCTACATGTCGATGCTCAGCTTGGTCAGGATTAGGTAAGATTTTACCTATTGTGCATGTTTTGTAGGAGCAGGGGAAACCGGAGCGCCCGGAGGAAACCCACACAGACAAGGGGAGAATATGAAAACTTCAACTGAGATTCGTAGCCAGGACCTTCTTGCTGAGTGTGTGATAACTACTCTGCCACCGTGCCGATCTTATGACATTGCATTGAGATTCAGCCGCTTTTGTTTCTCATAAGTGCATTACATTTCCAGACGTCCGTCACATGACACACCCAGAGCTCTCCTAAACTGATTACACACTATGGATGAAAAAAACACACACACACATAAACACACACATACACATTTCACTTTGCTCCCAACTAGATGACACCCAGCATGTTTCCTCCTTATCTCTGCCTCTCGCTCTCCTCCAATTGTTGTTGTTGTGGTTTTATTCTTCTATGCCCCGCCCTCTTCCATCCCCAGCGCTCTGATTGGACAGCCTGAACACGCAGCCACGTCCTGGGTTGATAAAAGCTCCGCAGAGGGAGAAGGATTCAGCAACTTGCCTTTTTTGTGACAAGAGCGACTTCTCCAAAACTGTTGTAACATTGGATTTATAGCAAGTGTCCAGCCATGTGCAAAGGACTCTCTCAGCTGCCAGCGACATGTCTGAAAGGGTAAGTCTCTTTAAAAACTTCTGCAAAATAAAAAGGTGTGGACCGCTTTGTCAAAGTAGTACTGCAAAAAAAATCATGTAGAAGCTTACAATCAATGATGGGAAGAAGATGTAGAAATGTGATTTGTTAAATATCTATCACCTGCTTTGAAATGTATGAAAAAGGCAAAAATCTGAACAAAACAAAATGATAATAACAGTACATGAAAAAGGTCTATTCAGATACACAGTCCAACATGAGGATTGTATTTTGACTATTTTAATACAATAAAATGAGTTAATTATTGGATAAAAGTGGAGAATAGGAAGATATGTTTAATGTATTGAACTGAGAGTTATATTATAGAGCAATAGTTTTTTGATAAATAATGATATATTTAATTAGCTACAATATTGTTTTACATTGCATTCATAAAAAATGTAGTTTTTAATTTATTTAATTCGTTTTCATAGTGTTTTCTATTATTGAAATCCACACATTGCAAACAAGAAAATGAGATTGACAATTTTGCAATCAATATTTGAGAAATTAAATATAAACGTGCCAATAATATTTTTTTGTTCAGATGGCTCAGAACATAATTAGAACATAGAAAACGCATTTTTTTGGTAAATTGTTTAAAATGGTTTTGAAAAATATCCCCTGTGGCTCTTTTATGTATTTGATTTGTGAATACATTAAATCATGGTATTAGGGGCAGAGGTGTTATAATACACAATAACATTCTGCCCTTATTCATTATTTGTGTTTATTGATATTCATTTAGATACAATTCTAAATTGCATGCTCTGTTATGCACTTCTGTAACATTTTGCCATTTATTCTTTTTTTTCTTCTTTTTTTCATAAATACCAGTAAATGAAAGACTTGCTGTGCCATATTCTTAATTCTAATGTTTGCATGTTGCGTTCATGTTTTTAGTTCCCGCCCGCAGTGCTTCTAACAGCACGTTTCTATTATCTGTGCGGAGATAGCAGAGGGCTGGGAACACGTCTTCTGCTCATTCATCACAAGCGCTTTAATTATTAACACGTAATGACGAAAATGACAATGTTTAACCCCAAACCCAAGACCAAACTGCAGTGGTGTGTTTTCTCATGCATCATGTATATTCAGGATAAAGGTCAATGGGCCGTTTGTATGAGAATCTAAAAGCAGGATGCTGATAGACATTTGGTTTTTTTTTTTTACTGAAAAAGATCATTTACTCTCCAAAATACTACAAGTTACGGCAACATTTTGTATAGACCATTGCACATATTTATAAATCACACTTTTACAGATACAATTTCAGATGGATTTTTTTATGGACATTTATTAACATTTTTGGACATTGGTCATAATGTCTCCCCCCCCCCCCACTTTGTAAATTCCTCAAAGATGGCTACTGTTGTGATTTAGGGCTGTACAAAAATATATTAAGATGCAATTGAATAGCCTAGACCGGTGGGTGGGGGGGAAAGGACATTATCATGGCTGAATGGTATACACTCTGGCTTCTCAGCAAGAAGGAACAGGGGCTTTCTGAGTGGAGTTTGCATGTTCTCTTCATGTCCAGTCCAATCCTCCAGCTCCAGTCATCCTGAGGAAGCCGAGCATCAACATCTCTAGATGGGTCCTCTACTGTGACTGCTCAGAATGGTGTTGCAGGATGGGTCAAATGCAAACATTTTTATTATTTTTTATTATAACATATTAAAATGTCTTCAGCCAACTCCCTTTCCAAACCTTGTATATTGATTGTATTATTCTGTTGCTAAATTATGTTAATGCTGGTCTTTGGAATTAACATATAAATGAATAATGAAATGAAATGAAAAGATACACCCCGCTGTTACATAATTGTGTTTGAAAAAGCCTAAAACACCAAAACAATTACAATTATGTGCAAATCCAAGCTGAATAAAGCGTCAAAACGTTTCACAACAGAGATATTTATTAACATGTGATAAATGATTTGTCTGTTCTGTTTGCAGTAGTAGCTAATATATTGTTTTTGTTTCCATCTGTTTTTCAGAGCTAAAGACATCAAGCACAAAATCAGCCACTTACTGCAGAAGCCGGAGCCCCACAGCGCGGAGCCGAAGCAGAACAAGGACAAGAGCACAGCGGGGAAGAGGTAGGCTTTACCGATCTGTCTCAATACCTCAACATTGAGAGTTACAAGTGAAACTCGAATATTTAGAATGTTGTGAATAACGGGTTTTTTCTGTTATACCACTGAATCTTATATAAACACAATATGAAGTGAATATTTTACATGCAAAAACAGGTAAGTGCCATGGAAACATATCGGAAAACTTAAAATGTTGTCTTCACCAAGAAGTTTTGTGAAAAGCCAGATCTATTTTAGTGCCATACAAATAAAGTAATCCGTTCTTAAGCCAATTCTTTCAAGTGTACTGCCATTAACAGAACATGTTGAAGGTTGCAACAAGAGGAATACAATATTTGGACAACAATTTAAAAACGGAGATATCTCTTTTTGCATATGAACCCTTTAACCCTTACGGCAGGCTGTGCACAGTGCTGCCCTCTACTGTCAGAGTACAAATGGCACTGGTCACTACCACTAATATTTTGGTCTCTGTGGTGATTTGCCGGTATTGATTTGACTGGGCAGACATCTTGGCTTGCCTGGGCGTGCGAATAACTTGTATTTATATTACACTGGGTAGTAGGGTTGCCAACCGTCCCTTGAAATACGGAATTGTCCCGTATTATAGAAAAACTATGTGCGTCCCGTATTGAACTGATACGGGACGGCTTTTGTCCCGTATTTTCGGAGCCACCTTAAATGCATCACTCACTCACTGCATGTCACACGCGCGACACACGCACACACACAGTAATGATCACAGTTTAAGCATCTACCTTTCGGCCAATCAGTGTCAAAGGGACGTAGGCTTGATCACAGATGTTGGTTTAATGTTGACAATCGCCAGCGTGGGCCGTGCCCGCAGCATCATCACGGCAGAAATTTGGTAAAGTAGCGGCATTTTCCCAGATTCTGACTTCCGTGGTCAATAGCTCATGAAAGCTGCTTTGTTAAACAAAAGTAATTGTGCTAAAATAATCATCTCTACGTTGATTATACAAATTCAATGCGCTGTTTTAATGCAGAGAAATCCTCTGAATCCAATGCACTGCAAGCGCCGAGAAAAGGACTTAGGGACCGTCAACAAATATCCAGACCAGCTTTGTAAACAAACAATAGCTTTTACTGAAGCCACAAACCTGCACAAAACTCTCAGACAATATAAATGATGATGACCATATTTTGATTTGTGAGTTTTTTTAATGAATACATGTTTTTCTTTTTTTATTTCCTTTTACAGAAATTGGTCTTTACTGTAACATTCATAAATAATGTATGTTACAGTATTTGTCTTTTTTATATATTTTGTATTACTAATAAGAATGCATTAAGTCCTTAACCAGCCAAAGAGTTCCACCTATTTATTCAGTTTCATTTTTGACTAAGGATTTGTTTTTTTTATATGTCCATCCATCCATCCATTTTCTTCCCCTTAATCCATTTCTGGGTCGGGGGGGTGGCAGTCCTTTTTTTTATATGTAGTCAATAAATTACAATCTAAAAACTGTGATTATGAAATTCCATGATTACTGTGTAGACTGAAAAGTGCTCAACCCGATCCACCCAAATGGTGTCCCTTATTTTTTTGTTCTCAAGTTGGCAGCCCTACTGGGTAGACTAGGAAATATATGTACACATGCATAAAATCCAGTGTATATATAAGCAGAGATGTTTTAGATCCACTGTAGACTGTCTGATGTGACCGAGGCTGTTACTAATCTTGCGCAGGTTTAGTAGAGCTTTTTATTCCTCTGTATCATTTAAACTTGTGTTAGATTCACCTTCTGCTGTGTTCCCATTTACATTGTGAGTGAAGTCTGAACATGTCATAGATCAGCATCGTGATATAAAAGTAGGACGGCGCTGCGAGCTCATTGTCATGCCGTAGTTAAACTTTTTCCCAAACAGCTGCTGGTTTGGAGAATACTTTGTTCACTGCTGCTTAAGGTTGACCTCAACAGAAGCTCAGTGATAAGGAACATAAAGGAAGGAGATATTTATAGCCATTTTTGGAGAGAGGATATGTTACTGTGGGGAAAAAGTGGGGAAATTAGCACTATAATACAACATTATTAAAAGGCCAACAGCAAACACATAGGAACCTTATTCTGCTAGATGCAAATCTTAATCAAATTTAAGGTACACAGTTTTATATAGAGTAAAGATGAGTTTGGACTTGCTTTCCAGCAAAAATTTAGCGTTAAGTCTTATTTTTTATTTATTTATTTTTTTGTTTATTTCTTCTTTGGTCACCACATTCAAAATAAATATAATGTATTGGTACTGTATACGGATAAAATACAAATACATGAATGACCGAAGGGGTTTAGGCTGAAGTATTAAAAAAAAAAATCGCCAAAACCCCTATTGCTTTGACTCTATCATCTCACCAATCAAGTCCTCTAAATAAGTAAGGGATAATGTATCGTACACAGGTCATTATCGGAAAATAAGTACCAACAGGGCAAAGCGGAGCCCGATACGCAGCGGAGGGGTCCACTTCACCCTGAAGGTTTGTACCAACAGAACATACAAAATAAACTTCAGTCCACTCTTAGGAATGCCGAAAGGTTTATTTAATGACAGAAAATAAAATAGTTCCCAAAGGCTTTCCCGTGGCTATGCGAGTAACAGTTAGGCGAGTAACAGTTAGGCTAGCAACTTCCAAACTAGAACTCTCTCGAACTGCATGAAAACTGAACAAAGAATTCTGAACATCAGTGGTGAGTGACCCAAACATAAACTTAACCTAAATCCATAATTTGATCCTCTGCAAATGTTCCTAAAATGTCCCAGAATCTACTTCCGGGTTTTTTGCGATCGCTTTTTCTCGCATTAAAACAGTATTTTGGCATGAAATCCTTAATTAACAGATACTTCTGAAAGCCTCCGTGCATTTGTTTTAAGAATGTATATGTATAATTTACTCTCCGAGTAACATTTAAATGTTTTGATGGATTGGTATTTGCGTTTGTTGAGCGTGGCTAGCGACAAAGTGGCGTTGCCATGGGCAGCGGTCATTATTGTTTGAGAAGTCCGTTATAAAGAAATAATGACCGGTAGAACGTTTTTAAATTACATTCAAATCAATGGAGCATTCTACTGCTGCTGTGAGGAGCCGTATAATAAGGTTTAATAATTACATCCCTAATTCTTTGCCTGCAGCATCTTGAATGGGAACATGTCGTGAAAATGCTGCATGAAACATAAATTAGACATCTCCCTGTGTCATTATGCTCCGATCAATACTCAGTAGCTTTTCTCACTGAGGATTACACCATTCAAACAACTGGTCCAGCATCTAGTCTAATGATCGATTTGTTATGGGTATTATCAATCATTTACTATTGAAGATTTAGCTGGGTAAACATCAAATTGTGTGTGTGGATATTGACAATGGGCCTAGCAGCTAAACCGATATGTGTTGGCAGGAGAAAAAAAACATGGTAATGTAAAATGGAGTGTTTATAAAGGACTTTAGAGGCGCAACAGCAATTACGTTGGAAATCTCAAGTGAATGGTACAAAATATATCAATATGTTTAGCAGTGATTTGACTATAAATGTGAAGGAACTGGTTTAGTTTATACCGCCAAAAAAAGTCAAGATGAAAATAGTGAAATTTGGCCACATTTTACCACTTTTTGACTGACTTAAAATAAGAATGGCCAATGGGACAAGCAAAATTATCTTGTTTTAAAAAGAAATTTCTCCCTTGGAATGAGTAGAAGGACTGTACAAGAATACATTGAATTGAATTGAGTAGAATAAAATGCAGCAAACGATTTTTAAATATTGGCTTGTCCCACTGGAAAATCTTGATTTTTAGACAGAATGAACTCAATCTAAGATAAAAAATAAAATCAAACTGGATTGAAGCCATTTTTACCTTATATATTATCACTTTTTGCAGTGTTGACAGGGAGAAATTTAAGATAAGATAAACCACTATCTGTCATGGCTGTGCACATTACAGCAGAATATAAGAGCACTCAGGTTATACACACATCAAACAGAATCTATTATTTAAGATAATAGATAATAGAATAATATTAACGGCTCATTAACCGAGCGCGAGGTCTGTATGGACAAATATCAGACCGCGGCCTTAATGTACAGACCGAGCCGTGGCGAGGTCTGTGCAAAAAGGCCAAGGTCTGATATTTCTCTGTACAGACCGAGCAAGCGAGGTTAATAAATGTTTTACTATACGACTCTCGTCTGTGTCTTTACCAATGCTTTTGAGATATTTGTGAAGTATATTCATATCTGACTTGGTTTTGTGTGATACGCGTTGCGGACAGATTGTCATGGTAACGGTCCGAGATGGGAAAATATCAGACCGGTAATCAGCCAATCAGAGCGCGCGTACGGTCCAATGTCATATAATAAAGTGATAATATTATAACATTCTGGAGCTATAATTCCACTGGAGCTATAATTGCCCTTAAGTAAGTAACTTGTGGAGTATACACTGTGTATATAGCACTTTTCATGAGGTATTTACAGAAGGTTGTACTTCAGCAGCAGATGATCAGAAGTTCAATCTACAGAATTAATCCTCCTCCCAAGTGGACGGGAACGGGTGAAACATTCAGTATCATTTCTGATCATTAAAGCCTTGAACGCAGGACAATGCATGAATATTTCAACACACAAGAATCACTTGGGCTAGAATAGACAGAGTCAACATTTCAGGTTTATGCAGCTCAAGTTGGAACATTCTCCCTGAAATTATGAAAGAGGCCTCTACTCTGACAATGTTCAAATGCAGCTTCATGTAAATAATGTATTGAATGACAAATAATGCACGATTTGGGAAGATGGATGGTTGACATGAGATGAATTATTTATTGAGGAATGTTTTTCAAGGAGGTTCTTGATCTTATGGTGTCCCTGCAAGAAAGATGAGATTTGATTTTCTATTCTATACTATTTCACAGTGATATGGTGCAGTTAAAGGCAAGAATAGAATAGACAGAGATGTTGAGACTCAATAGCTGAGGCTGGAGAGGTTTTGTGTTTTTGTTTGTATTCTGAGATTCATTTACATTATATCAATTGTACTTCACACAGAAAAAATATTATGCCATAGTGTGTAATTTAACCTTTTCCTTTGTTCACCAGGAGTCCCACTGCAGTGGAAGTGGAGAAGTGGAAGGAGTCTTTCAGCAATCTGATAAAATCGGACGGTGAGTTTGGACATTTGCATTCTTTCCTTAAATACGTATAACCATTTTGTTGACCAAAATGCATGGAATCAACTGAGTCTTGAAATCTACAGTATAGTGCACCTCAGAGTCCATGACACACATGTTAGAAAACACACACACGCTTGTGACACACGTGATCTTTAAGTAAAAGACACTTGGGAGCAACAAAGCTGTGCGTTTTTTAATCTTTTTTATCTTGCGAGGCCAGGGAGGGACATGTACACACAGGAAGTGTAGGGACTTGAGCACGAGACTCCATCCGCAGCAGGCAAACAACCTAATTTCATTTCGATGCACGTTAATTTGTTTTATGACTGACTTTTTGATAGACACAATGCAGATTGAAAAGAGAAGGTCCCAGGATTGACTCTTAGAGCAGTGTACAATAGGCCTTAAGGAAGCATTTATGTATGCATGGTTTATTTGCTACTTGCACGCTTTTACCACTGTCCTGTATGTGCGCTGTGGGACTAATATAATAATGTATCTTTCATTTCAATTAAAAAAACCCTAACTCTTTAGTGGGATCAACAGGTGTCAATGAGAATTACATTATCCAATAAAAGTGTTATAAAAGGGACATGTCAGTATATGAAGTTAGTGGTAATTGTTTAACTATTTAGCAGAATCAAATCTATCGGTTCAAGAAATGATAACAACGTAGAAAAGACCTCTGGACCTGAAGATGTCTTAACTGATTTTTTTGTAAATGACACAAAAAAACTCTACATTTACATTTTCATGGATGAATTAACAATGCATAATCCTTCAAAACTACAGTATATACTAACAAATGTTGTTGGCTACCTCCTGAAAATATCAACAAAAAAGCTTTATATGACTAGTTTCATTGATTCCAATTCGGGGAAAGTATGGATTGGGGTCGGACTATGGTTTTAGTCTCGACATGCCTTTAATCTCTTTCTTGCCACTGTGGTAATCTCCTCGTGCTCATGTCCACCCCCAGTGCGTCTGAAACACAGTGCGGTGGTGCGTTCTCATGCTCTGGTGCTGAGGCTACGTGTCTGGAGGCCTGTTATCAGCCTCTGGAGACCTCATATCCACTGCTGTCCGCTGCTGTCCGCTGCTCCATGTGTGAGGCCTCCCACGAGGTTTCAACTATTCCAAACTGACCTTTCTCCCAATAACCCAGTTCACTTGTTCCTATGTCCCCCTTTCACCACAAAACCACCACTACATCAGATCTAAATCTTTCCCAAATATGGCACTAATCTGTTGTTTTAAGATTAAGAGACACTTTATTCAGCCCACAGTGGAATAATTGAGTGTTAGATCAAAAGTTACAGAACGGTAGAAGTGAGGAGGAGACAATATAAGAAAAGTGATTAGGAAGAATAGCACAACTCTATACATAAAATCTAATCAAATCAATCTTTAGCTAAATAAATAAGTATTATGTATAAACTACTGTATACTCTGCAAATGCAAGTGATTGGAGCATATGACATTCAGATAGATTAGAGATTGATGGAGATGACGTAATGTGGACTAAAGTGCATTTACAAACCTAATATTGATAGCACATACTGTTTGCCTCACTTCTGTCAGTGTGCCCCAGGGCAGCTGTGGCTACAGTAGTAGTTTATCATCACCGTGTATGGAGTGAATGAATAATGACATGTGAAGCATCTTTGAGTGTCCAAAAAAGGCACTATATAAAACCGATGCATTATTTATAATATATATATATATATATATATATATATATATATATATATATATATATATATATATATATATATATATATATATTATATTATTGTTTTAAATATAATATTCATACAGAAACTTTTAGAAAAATGGTTCATAAAATGTATATATAGTTATTTTTTTGCGGTCAAGTCCTAAAATGGCAGTGATGATACGATGGCGCCGCATGCACCTCCAGGCATTTATTTATATGGCGTTTCTATCATCTTTCCGTGTCTGCTCTGGTTTCCTCCAGGTGCTCCGGTTTCCCCTACCACTTAAAAAACATATACAATAAGTCTGGCATGCACCTCCAGTATGGCGACCTCACTCCTATTTCTGTGTGGAATGAGAAGATAAAGTCCCGTATTAATTGCAAAAGCGGTTACTGACTCTGGTCTGTGAAAGACGCTGTATAAAAAACTATTATTTATTTTTTCTCGTTGCAGTGGGACGTGCGGTCTTTGCTTCTTTCCTGCGGTCAGAGTTTAGTGAGGAGAATCTGAAGTTCTGGGAGGCGTGTGAGGAGTTCAAGAATAGCCCTGTGTCTCAGCTGCAGAGTCGTGCCGCAAACATCTATCAGCAGTTTATCCGAGCCGACGCCGTCTACGAGGTGAGCGCACAGACCGCACACTTCACTAAACTTTCATTTGAAGAAAAAAAGTATAGAACAGGCTCGAACGGCCGGAGAAAATGAACCGCTGAGGCAGACGTGTCACACTCCTAACACAACTGCAGAGATGAATCAATTACATGTCAAAGTCGGGCTTAAAGACTAGAAATCTATCTTTCAAGGTGCAGTTCATACAAGGTCGCCCAGGAATTTACAGAAACTGGAGGCTACCAATAAAGACTCCAAGCTGTCTTTTTTGTATGTTTGTACAGCCCTGAATAACAACAGAAGTCGTGACGTTTTTAAAGAAAGAGGATTTTACAACAAATCAGAAAAGCAAACAGTTTAAACACAGGAAATGCAGTAATTACAAACACTAAATGCTAATAAATGTCCATACATGCATTGATTTTAAATAATTATTAATACAGCTGTAATACGGCTGTAGAACACGGACTGAGTATTTCAAGTATAACCCTTAAACCTAGTGTATACTTGCACTGCGTGGCTTACGTTAGCGGTTGCGGTGGACCTACGTAAGCACAATTGATGTTATACTGGCGCGTTCCCCTTACGGAGTTTTGAGGAGAATGTTGTAATCCCACAACAAACCACATGAGGGCGATCACACAGGAGCGGTCCCATTTACGCTGCTACTTTGTCCTCTTCAGAACAACAATAGCAAACAAAGCTGTTTGAGCTCATTACACGTGTTTCTACTGTAGGTTTATGTGATAGTTTTATGGATTCATTATTTTATAAGTCTTTTCAACTGTGATGCTGTGAATAAAGACACAGTTCTTGTTGGAAACATAGGTTCTCACCCCCGCTCCTCGGAGCTTACGTTACTCACATTTCCTGTTCAAATCTTCCTCTAAATGGGCGTAGCCTGGAGGACTAAAGGGGGCGTGAACGAGACTGGACCATTTACATTGCTCTGGGCGGGGGGGCTGCTGACGTCAGGTCTTGCTTCAGACGTCAGGTCTTGCTGCCGCGCCAGTGTTGGCGCCAGATTCAAAATTCAAATGTAGTAATACAGGTCGCCAGCAGATGGCGCCTCACAGACGGTTTTAGGCAGAAAGTTTAACTTTCAACTAATTTGCACCAAAGTGACAAATTTATGACCAGGATATGTAGACAACACTATTGGACACTCATTTATACCGTTTATCAGCAAAAAAAAGTGGATTTGAGGGTGAGTTGTCCTTTAAATAGTGTTCAGCACAAACAGCAAAACAATAATAGTGGTAAATATCTGAGACAAACATGAACGATTTACGAGTGCAGGAGGAAAGCAACAAACGCAGCTACAATTCCAACAAAGACAGGAACAGTGCAAAACAAACGACTGCACAGTTTATAAGTTATATTTATGTTAGATAGTCCACAGTCTCCTGTATATCAGGCTCTGAGCCCAAACTGCTTTTCCTTCGAAGCACAAAGCTCTCTGCTCCATAGTGCCTCGTTCATTGTCCTTGCTGCAGCCGCTCCATGCTTCCTTCCAATACACACACACTGACCAATCACAGCGGAGATTCCTTGCGGCGACCCTTACGTAGTTAGAAAATGTCGATACTGCGCGGCAGGCGACGTAAGGGCCTTGCGGTGACCAACGCGTTGCGCAAGTGACGTCACGTCACCTCCGTAAGCTCCGCGCCGCGCAAGTATAAACTAGGCTTTAAACTGTATCAATAATAATAATACATTTTTCATTAAACATATATATTTCCTATGTTTTGTCCGATAGGTGAATCTGGAAGCGGCCGTACGAGAACTAACCAAAGAGAACGTGGAGCAGGCATGCCCCACGTGCTTCGACGAGGCCCAGAGGAGGATCTACCTGCTGATGGAGAAGGACTCCTACAGACGCTTTCTGCACTGCCCCCTGCTGCAGGAGCTGAGCCACACTGCCCCTTCAGGTGGGGAGGGGCAGGGCACTGGGGCAAGAGGGGCTTAGACACCCGGTGGGGACACTTAATGACTGCAAGTGACATCACAACAGTGTTTAACCAAGTTTGAGGGGATTTCATTTAATTTTTATTTGCACTACTTTGAGCTTATTCTGGTGGATGAGGACAATATGCTAAATATTCCAAAACCATAACATAAGAAAGTGTTTTCCTTTATAATTCAAATTACTGCAGAGATATTGCAAAAGTCTGGTCTGTGGAGTGGAGACCCGGCTTGACGCTAATGAAGGCCATTTCCAAGCAACAGTACATTATTTTAACAATAAAACAAACGTTATTCCAAAAAAAATCCAGAATTTCAGAATATGTCTTGACTATATAAGTTGTGGTAACATCAACATTTGTTATATTGTGTGACTTGCAGTATATACCCCCAGGAAGAATAGCTACTTTTTCTTTCAGTAGGTAATGGGGATCTGAATAAAACAAGCAAACAATAACTTTATGTACTTTTTGCTTTGACTTGTTCAAAGTTGTTGTTATATTTTATCTTTTGTGTGGTTTTTGGGTCATTTATTTTTCAGGGCAGTTAGATTTGGTGTATCAGTAGAGATGTTTGTACCAGACTGTGTAAATTTCCCAGTTTAACTCATATACAAATAATAAAAAAAAATATTGAATATTGTAGCCACCAGCTCAAACTGCTATTGAAAAATGAAATGTTAATTTGCAAAAACAGAGAAGTCCACTTAGAACAAAATATTTTAAAAGTTTACAATTTACCCTTTACAACACTGTTATAAAAAAATATCCTGATCTATTTTAGTGTCATACAAATAAATCGCTACTTCGAAAAAAAAGTTGAAATATCATAGGTGTGTTTTTGTTTTCTCAGTACTGTAATGGAGCTCTTGTCTGCACATCTCTACTTCTCTCACACATTCTATTAAAGTTTACATTAACAGCTATTTGTATTATTAACGTCTCCTTTAGTGGATGGGAATTGACTCTTAATTGTTTATAATTAAAACCAATATAAAATGTACCTTTGTCTATTTAGTGCTTTTTAAACGTATTAGAAAGTCCATTAAGCATGCATTTAAAAAACGCTCCATCAGATCATCTATGACATCTATGTTTGACTCCACCACTACACCACAATATAATTTACAATTAGCAGCAAAACTTCACCGGATCTCTGTATAGCATGCAGGATTTGAAACAACAACAAATGTGTGTAAAAGTCTATTGTGAACATTGTACTTTCTAAGATGTACACCATAAACGTAATCTGGTGGAATATTTGCAGTATTGTCTGTGTTTTCACTTCTCTATCATCCCCAAACGTAAAAAAAAAAACAAGTAAAATGGTCACTGTGTATAAGATATATATGAAGTTGTATGTTTAATTATTGAAAAGTGTGTTTGTGTTGATGCGGCCTTTTGTTATTTGAACAATGGAATCTCTGTTCAAACCTGGCTGTGGAATGAAGATGGAGACGTGCATGTGTTTTTAGTCTGTGTTTGAAATCTACCCTTGATAAAGACAATATGATTAGTGCCAATGCTATTCGTATTCACTGGAAAGATACTCACCAATAAAGTAAAGTACTGCAATCCTGTATTTGCTAAAAACAGATTACAAGCAGTGTTTTAAAGTCCACCAGTGTGAAGATGAAGCCATGATATAGTACCTTGCTCTGTCTGTTTGAGAATTTTTTATTTTTAAGTTTGTTTTTTAGGTTACAATTGCAGAGCCTGAAAAAAAACATTTAAAATAAGGTACTAATTTTTGTCCATTTAAACTGAAGGTCCGAACAAAAAACAGTCTCAGCGTCTATATTTCTAAATATTTTCATCAAAATGCATGTGAGAGAAATGTACCTCAATTTGCTTGACATAAAGAATGCTAAATGATTGAGGCCATCTTTATTATCCAGCAAAGAAAATACTTGTACTATTATAATTTATACAATATGCCAATACCTCCGTTACATATTCACATAAACATATTTACTAAAGTGCACTTGTTGAAACCCCACAATATAGCAAAGATTCCCAATTTAATATGGTCAAAATTAGGTTGATTGTGGTAATAACCAACATAAAAGCATTTGTTATGTATGTAACGTGACTATGAATAAAACCTGGAGGACTGTGCAGGTTGAAATGTAAAGCTGGTGCCAGATCTGAACAGAAAATGATTTAATTACTGGTTGAAATTGTTTTGCTTTAATGGGTTTTACATAGAAATTAGCTTCTAAGAGCATGTTTCACGCTGCAATTTCACTAAGCACCATCTGCTGGAAAACTGCTATACAAACCTTAACATCTGTTTTGCAAATGATTGTGATTGTCTGGTCTTGATGCATATTCTATTTAGCAAAGCATGAAAATAGTTGTATACTGTTAGTATTGTGTCTTTTGTGAGCATGCTGAAATGTCTTATTTAAGTATAAAGAATCCGGTAGGAGACTATAAACTGTAGATATTTAATTTATACTGTTCAAATCCAAAATAAATAAAACAGATCTCAAATACAACATGTGTTGGGTTTTTTTTTTTGTTGCTCTTATTGAAAAAACTTATTACAATCATCAAATTCAATTCAATTCAATTCATTTCTTTTATTTACAAAACTCGTAGCCATATTGGTTATACACTTTTACAATGTAGTGTTGGTTGGTGTTTTGTAAAAAGGGAACTCCCAGGAAGCTGCATTAGCTTATAGACGGGGCCAAAAAACAACACATGACACACATAACACATAAAACAACACATGCAGAAACAAGTGTAACATTCCATACTACGCAAACAAAGCTCCTTACTGTAGTTTCCTATTCACCAACAGTTGCTCCATCTAGACTCGGATAAGCGCACAGGAAACCTACGCAGACACACAGGGAGAACATGCAAACTCCAATCAGAAAGGCCCTGATCCAACTGGGACACAAACACAAGGATCTTAGATTGAAACATTTATATGGGTGGTAGCTTCCGTGGAGAGAGTGCTAACCACTCAGCCAGTGCTACAGTTTTGCAAAGTACAGCGTGTAAGCACATTGAACCTTGACTAGAAATTAATCAAGTAAGAGAAATGACCCAGGTAGTTTAAATTGGCCTACTTTGGCTTGGCTCTGTCAATTACCAAACTAAATGTATTTGGTCTAATGAGTATTCAAAATGTTGCTTAAGTATTTCGCATTAAGCCGACTTGTTTCATATTCATATCTCAAAATTAACGCTAAAATGTAGAATTTCTCAAAAGGATTGTTTATATTTTGCGCTGCAATGCATTCTGGGTAGCTTCACTGCTTCGACCAATACATATTGTTTTCAATGAACACGTTATATTCATAGCAGTGTAGCGACAGTAGCTCAGTTGGTAGAGCATTGGCCTTTGAGCCTGAAGGTCGTGGGTTCAAGCCCACCGTAAGACCTACTTCACGACTCCCACTGATGACTGCTGTCGTTGTGTCCTTAGGCAAGACACTTAACCCCACTTTGCCTGAAGCCCCCACTGAAAGATCTCAGCTCCTGTGGACTCACCACCTGCAGGAGGATCAGTGAGGGGCTGGTGCTCTGTGAACTGGGTGCCATCTCTGGCCACCCCCCCGACCCGGAAATGGATTAAGGGGAAGAAAATGGATGGATGGATGGACGTTATATTTGTTTTTGTCATTAATGGACCATCATGCTTACAAAATAAATTCTTAAACGTTTTTTCACCTAAAGTAATAAAATCAGTATTGTTTAGGGACCTATAATAATGTTATGCAGTACTCATTTGTCAGCCAAAAATATAAAATAATGAAAAATTAAGTATATAGTCATTTTTGTTTACATCAAAGTCTGGTCTGCTGCACTTTACAGTTTGGATTATTTAAGTCTTTGTTAAAAATGACAATTATGCATACTGAGATCTTTCTGTCTCCCACTTTGACTAGACATGCAGAGTGTGAAAGATGTAGTATAAATTAGTTTTCTAAAATTAATTTTATAAGTTGTCTTTCTGGAATCCTCCCTGTTTTATTGTTTAAATATCTAATCTTTAATTGAATAAATATAAATAAATGAAATAATGTTGTGATTTCCCTTGAATTCCAAATACTTTTGTTTGGTACTTTGCCTGTCTGCGATATATAGGACTAAGAGATTCTTTATTGCCTTGTGTAGGAAAAGCGCTCTACATTGATTTATTGGTCCCAAGTGGGGAAATTTCAGTGTTGCGTGATCAGTTACAGAACAGTAGGAATGAGGAGCAAACAGCACAAGATAAGTTTGTACTGAGCCTAAATGAGCTGTCAAAAAAAAGGATCGGATCAGTAGACGTCGAGGCGCCCAAACACGCATAGTTCACAAGATATCAAAACTAATGATTGAAATAACACTCATTATTTTGGAAATGACCAAGCACAAAATCGTCGACCAAATGTTTTGGCTTCTCCCTGTCTCACAGTAATCACATCAAACCAGCATCTACGTCTGCGATGGGGACAATGTCATGTTTCCAGTGACAAATGAAGCCATTAGATGCTCCAATACGGTTATGTAACTATGGACACAATGAAAAGCCTTCTAGCCTTTGGTGATTTATCTACATGTTTTTGACCAGCGCCTTAAAGGCGCAGTGTTTTGAATGCCTCTGGCTCACTTGGAGGGCGATGCAATCAAGAACTCGAGTAAACAGCAATTTGTGAGATAACAAGGAGGTCTGAGAGATCTTTGTTTGAAAGCACTGAATTTCTGGCGCAATTTCCCTGTGAGAAAACAAAGATTATGTACTTTACTTGTTGTGTTTGATTGAAGCTTAAGCGCAAATTCAGACAGGAAGACCAAAGAGACGTCGTGCTGCTAAGTAACACACCTGATCATCATCACTTCATAGCTACATTTAAACAGAGCTTCTCAGTTCTCTGCAGCTCAAGCTGCTGTTCGAGCAGCAACCCACCTCCTCCCCATCACTGCCTCTTCAGTGGAGTATTATGTCATGTCTTCGGCTCAGCTTCTTCGCCACCAGGTTCTAGGCCCGGGGGATCACAAGCTCATAATTTGAATTAAACTCTCTTCCCATAAGTCATGCAGTATTCACATCGGGGTCTAATCGCAAAAGCTTATCAATAAATATAACAGTACTCAATCTAAGTCTGATTGTGTTTATTCATGCATCTTGACAATAAATATTCTAATGCAATCCTCATCTCAAGTTTGTATACAAATAAGTTTGTTTATATATTTGTGTGTATGTGCATGTGTGTATGTATTTACAGTATGTGTGTGTACATGTAGGTGTGTGCATGTAAGTTTGTGCGTATTTATGTTTGTATGTATGAATGTATTTGCAATAAAACAACTATTGTTTACTGAATTTTCTTTTTCATTTTGTTTTCTTCGATATATTATAATTTACTCTGGCAGATGCTTTTTTTAATCATCTGCTGTTTTCTTTATCGGAACAAATTGTGCGAAACTTGTTTACTTTCCGTAACTAGAACACAATACTGTCTTCTTTAGGTCACACTTTGAATAATGACTTAATCCTACTTCTATCAGAAAGACATTCTGTTTTACGACGTACTTAAACTAACCGTAAGTTAAAACCTCTTATCACAAAAGTGCATGCCATCATCTATTTCATCACACACACACACACACTTTCTACTTGTGGCCTTGTGGTGAATCTTATACTAGTCTGTTTTGTTCGACTCCAGCGGTTTACTGCCCTCTTAAATCGTCATTCATCCAGCTTATCTCGATCACTTCAGTTAATGCAGCCTTAAATCTGCAGACATGTCCAATAAAATGTGTGTCTTCAGCGATGAATCAAGCAGCTTCCCTCTAAGACCGGGATTAGCTCAAGCGGTGTGTCTTTCCTCAGGTTACACAGCTCCTATCTCAACTATGCACCGTTCTATCTCCGGACAAAAAAGAAAAACCTCTGGAACTTAACTGAACACTTTTGACCAAGTTTGGACAAAACCCCTTAACGTATAACACCTTAAAAAATGAAACTATTGAGTATTTTTTTTCAACTCTAAAATGATCATTGATAGATTTTATTTACCTTTATTATACCAGGGAAAGTCCCACTGAGATTTCAGGATCTTTTTTGTCCTGGCCCCAGACAGAGAGAAGCGATTGTACATGTTTTTAGTGGTAGGGGAACCGGAGCACTCAGAGGAAACCTAAACAGACCATGGGAGAACATGTAAACTCCGCTCAGTGTAGGTGGAATCGAACCAAAGAACTTCTTGTTGAGAAGAGTGCCATTGTGCCGCTAGGAATGTTGATGGAGCTTTTAAGGCGTGTCTCTGTTCCAAATAATTCCATCAATTAACAATTATACATACTGAGAAAATCCCAATCCTTCTGTCTCACACTTTACCTTGTATAAACATACCTTTTACCACTCACTTGTATGGAGAGATGCAGATGTGTGGAGGATATAATACATTTTAGAAGTAGGTTAAGAATTATTACATACAGTGTTTGGAAATTGTAGTTGCAGTGTTACTATTATTGTTTGAAAAGATGAATTGTTGAAGATAATAGTAGAATAGTAACTTCAACAATTTAACTCCAGCAGGCAGATTCGTTGCGGTTGGAAATTAGCTTATGTACATGTGTGTGTCATTTCTTTTATCTTTTCATATTGTACCTTGGTGGAGGTACAGTAAAGCCGAGTCATACACATCTGGGAGCGGACTCACCAACTACTGACGTGACGCAGTGTTTGCCGAAAGTGGACAAAGCCTAACAAAGCTAACCCTTATACTTTTACCAAATATTCTTCTATCTTGTGTTGTGTTCTCCTGATTTGTCTGCATATCTGGCAACCTGAGCCAGGGAGAGTGGGAGAGGACAACAGAATATTGACCAAGATTGCAGTACCACTTTTGGCCAGATTCTTTCATATTTTACATAACACCGACATTTTCCCACAGTGGAACAAAGTTATGGGTGTAGCGAGAGCCAATCAAGAACATTTGTCCCCACACGAGCAACTAGCTAAAGCCAAATTTGCCGAATCGTGATCAAGACATGATCCATATAAAAACACCAGATCGATTTTTTTCCATGGCCAAATGAGTGTGACATAAATAGTTACAGATGTAGAAGAGTTTTCAATGTACGTCAATAAGAAGCCAAAGCGAGGCGCAAAATTGTCCAAGCGCACTTCCTTATTAGTGGGTTGGCATTGTCCATGTATTCACAGTCAATGGTCATAGAGTGGAATGCTTATTATTTATAAGAAACCCTCACCGTGTGATCTCTGACTACAGAATTCACCCCCATAAACTCGCTGTCTCGTGAGTGCAACTTCGTCATACTTTCCGCTGGGTATTGTAGAGTCTGCAGTAAAAAACACACAAAATCTGAGTCAGTGTCACTTGACTTGAGCGAACTCGACGAGCACGCCTTTTAGTTGATCAACCACAGCATGAGAGGCTAATATATTCCTCGCCTGCAGCAACTGTCCCATCAGTAAACCACTTATCCCCCCACACAGCTCTGTCCTGGGCAGCAGAGTCACAGCCGGAGGGGGTCTGGGGTCTGCTGGTGGTTATCACATGAAACTGGGCATGTGAACAGCTGTGCCCTGGTAGTGTTGTGGAGGTCTGTGCAAGTGTCAGAGGCACAAGTTTTTATGTTTTATATTTTGCATGCTTTTAAACTTGCTTTTATATGAAATGCATGTTTTAGTGTTTTTATTATTGTTTATTTTAAATCCTGTTGCCAATTGATCTGATCTCCCCTCCTCTCCAAGGACATTTGAAGGCAGCACAAGTCCGCAATCAGGACACCTATGAGCCATGGACTGAGACGGTTTTAAAAACGGCGTTGGGCAGAAACGAGGGAGACAGGAGGCCAGATAGAGAGTGGCCGGAGAGGACGGGCGGTCTGGAGGGGCCCGGGGCTGTGGCCTGGCCGCCTGCAGTGTCCGAATGGAACAGAACGGGAAAAGGAACAAAACGGAACAGGAACTGAATGCGGTGGGCAGGAGCGGTTCAGGCTGCAAAGGGGACCGAATACCTGTCTCCCGAGGCGTGGAGCCTGGCACCCGGTGCGAGAAGCGGACCCCCAGAGGCGACTGAGCGCAGACCCTGGAAAACCCAGCGTGACCCCGGGGAGGCAGGTCCAGTACCAGGGAACCCAATGGACAATCCCGGCCTTTTTAATATTGATTTGCATCTCTTTTTAGAAACGTTTTATTTATTTTGATCTGCTTTTATTAAAACCTATTTATTCTTTTAACTTTGCCCTTTTTATTGGTCACACCCCCTCAGTAGCACTTTTAAACCTGTGACACAAGTGCACATTAACAAACCTAAACCAGTTATGTATGTGGCAGGCTTAGAAGGTTCTTTTGATGAGACAAAAAGTGTAAAGAAGCTAGTCCTACTTAATTAACTGACATGTTTGGGCAGTATACTTCATCAACATCCAGCTGTTGTTACCGGATGTGCCCAGTCTGACAGATCGGGAAGATCCAGTTGGTTTTACCCCAACATATATGTGATATGGCAATCTCTTCACATTTTGTTGGAATGTTTTTGTGCACTCTAAAAAATTTTGAGAATCTAAAGGTAAACCATAGAGTAATATTTGTTTGTGTAAGCTCTCAGTCGTACAGGGATTAGTCAAAGCAAAGGAAGGTTTCTCACCCATCATCTGTACTTCTTAGCAAGTTTTCCTGACGTTTCGTCCTCAACCTAGCGGACTTCTTCAGGGAATGAATTCTCGGACCGCGCGTTGGAGATTTATAACCTATGGGTGTGGTTAGCCACACCCTAATCCTGATACTAACTCATAAACAATCTAAGGTCTGCTTGATGTAGAAGGGAGCAGGTCTAACGACCCTGCTGAGGCTAACGACCCTAACTCCTTAGCATGTCACTGACCTATTGTCTGCTGGGATGCTCAAGTGGAGTGCAGGTTTCACCCCTCCTAACTCATTAGCATGTCACTGACCTTGTCCCAAGTTAGGGCGTTGTTTTTAGGATGTCGTCATAGATGCGAGGCAAAACAAATCTTAACCCTCCTCCTCTGTTAAGAGAAGGTTTTTGTTTCCTCACAAAAATGGCTTCTTTCACTCCTCTCTCAAACCAATTCTTCTCCCGAGCCAGAATTTTAACCTCTGTGTCATCCACCGTGTGGTTGGAGGCCTTGAGGTGGAGATGAACAGCCGACTGTGGCCCACTAGAGTTTTCTCTACGATGTTGGTAAAGTCGTTTCTGTAGAGTTTGTTTGGTTTCTCCAATATAGTGGTCAGTGCACTCCTCTTCACTACATTTAATTGAATACACCACATTGCTCTGTTTGTGTCTGGGTGTTTGTCTGGGTGTAGCCACATCTGGAAAGTGCTGTCTGAATATATTCAGAGAGCACTTTCCAGATGTGGCTACCCCAAGTGGTCTTTTACTAAAGCCCAAAGGACGAGAAAGGCCAGAGACACAGTCCAACAGACAGAAGAAAGTAGGAGGAGAGGGGTGTCCTTACCGTATGTGGCGGGAGTTTCAGAGAAACTACAAAGAATCTTTAGGCAACACAAAATCCCTGTGTATTTCAAACCTTTCAACACGTTAAGACAGAAATTAGTGCATCCTAAAGACAAAACACCCAGACACAAACAGAGCAATGTGGTGTATTCAATTAAATGTAGTGAAGAGGAGTGGGCAGCACTCCCGTCTAGGACCCACATCGGTCCCGGACCGCATCGCCTCAGCTGTTGTGGCAGTGGATCCCTCTCTAAATGTAGGCCTCCCAGAGGTTTCTCTCCTCTCGCCGATCCAGGAGGGCCTAAAGACAGTGGTGATGATCCAGGACAGGTATTACCATTTATTACCATTTATGGACACTGGTCCAAGCAATGGCTCCTATGTTTTTGTTATTGTTGCATGTCTTGTGTTTAAACTGTTCAATTCTTTGATCTGTGTTGGCGAAGCGACAACTTTGTAAAGTCCTCCAATATGACTAATGTTTGATGTACAAAAACTTTAGGTTACCAAGGCAGAAGGCCACATAGAATAGTAATGAGGGCCACAACGTCAAAGAGGAAGAAGAAATCTAAGAGGTCATCTCAATACAGACATGATTTCTAGTCCAAAAACATCAAAATGCCAAAGTGAAGGCGGCAATAAAGCGCACATAAAGGCAAAAAAAGAATCATCTCCTTCACTTGGCATTTCCAATTGATTGTCTTAATTAATTTACTCTATGTATTTATATCCATAGATTAAAACCTCTACAAACTCTTCAACCGCTGAGACGTACAGTATGTGTCTAAGTTGGGGAATGTTGTGGCGTGATATTGTTTTGTACATATGAACTGTTCAGACATGACCACAAGTCCACATAAGGAAAGTGGTTTTATTTATCTTTATTTGTACAGGGAGGGCTCCATGAGACTACCAGAGTTGGTTTTTATCCAAGCAAAACACACCCAATCGAGTCATGCATAATACTTCCCAATCATGTGGGGTTTACCAACACTTGAGTGGCAGTCCGACACTGGGAATAGTGGAGCTACATTTCTTTGGTTCCCACAGGTACATCCGCTTTATCCTAGTCCAACACAAGGCTCTGTATTGAAAAGCAATTACAGATGAATTAGGATCAGGACTGACATTTTGGCCTGGTCTCTCTTGGAAAATAGATCTTAATCTCAATGGGTTTAAACCTGGTTAGATAAAGGTCAACTATAAATATCCACGGTATGTAAGAATTAGCCAAGGCATTGCATGTAAAGAAATAATCCAATATCATGTAAATAATATTTGAATGATACTTCAATAATGTTTTGTTCTTTGTCTGGGAAAATATTGTACTATTATCAAATGTTGTATTTAATTTAGATGATAAAATATATGGAAATACCTTGTTAGTCTGAAAAGTTTACATTTTTTTATGAAGACTCAACCCCTTTTTTTCCTCTCAATTCCTCTCAATTCCTTTAATTCTCTATTCAGGCAATCACGACAAAAAATATATTCTAATGCAATCTTTGCCTCGAGTCTTTCCACATTTATAATTGTATAGTGGCAACTGGTACACATTCATAAAAAAAAAATACTGGAAGTTAAGTTTTTGGACAAAGCCTGCAGCTGCGTCGCATACAGAGTGTGTTGCAGATTCTAATTTAAAACTCTCGTCTTTTCTCCACCGAATATACAGAATGAAATGATTAATAATATGCAACAGTTTTATATAGCGCTTTTTTGGACACTCAAAGATGCTTTAAATGTCGTTATTCTTTCACTCCATACACGGTAGTGATAAACTACTACTGTAGCTACAGCTGCCCTGGGGCACACTGACAGAAGCGAGGCAACCATGTGCCATCGGCCCCTCTGACTACCACCAACCACTCACACACACACCAGACTCATTCTAGGCAATGGGGGTGAAGTGTCTTGCCTAAGGACACAACGGCAGTTTGGCACTTTACACCCGCAGCCGCCCCACTGTGGCAACAGGTGTTCCCAGAGGTTAAGTGTCTTGCCAAGGACACAACGACAGCAGACAGAGGGAGTCGATGGAGAAAGTTTTGTGGTGGGCTCGAACCCACGACCTTCTAAGGCCAATGCTCTACCAACTGAGCTACTGTCGCTCCTATTAATAAATAATAAAAATAATAATAATATTAATAAAGTACAGTGTCTCTCATTCATTCAAACACTCACAAATATATTCATCCATTTACTCACACAGGCACTCACACTATTTACACTTTTTTTTAAACAAAAATTCAACATAAATGATTTTGTATACATCTCAATTGAATTCAACTCTTCTCAATTAGCTTTATAATCCTTCTCCAACCACTCTCTGTCTCCTGTTGGGACTGTATGGACCATGACAATTGCTCTCTCTGCTTCCTCTAGGTGCCGCTAAAACCATCTCTCACTTTTTACACTGGATACATTTTCCAAAGCTCCGCTCTTGATTGCGGTCACAGTCTGACGCTTTGAGAGTTCAGCTGTACATCTGGGAACTGACAGGAAGTTCATTTGCGTCACAAAACCGTTCCATCGTTCACATATTTATACTTTTTTTTTCAGCTTGAAGTACACTCAGCAGATTTAACCCAAGCAAAAAGGTATGGGAAACTTATATAAGGACATTTTTTTAGTGGCATATTTCAACTATGTAACTCAATGTGCACATAAACAGGTATGACCAAATATGTTCAGAAGAATGCCATATGCACAATGAGCCTTTGGTTTACTTGAAATGCACTCAACGTTAGAGCACACTTGAAGTCATTAGAGTATTCCAGTGTATTTTGAATGCACTGAAGTTGTTAGATTGATTTAAAAGGATGACCTCAGGAGAAAAAAATGGAAAATGTTACATGATTGATTGGCTGCTCATGGTTTAGATCTGAGTCCAACAAAGTCCTTAGGATAAAAACCATATGAACAAAATTGGGATACGTCTTTTTTTCCTTTACTTCCTCGGTTTCAGATTCTGACTGGATTTAAAGTTTGAGTTACTACTGTGACTGTTACTACAATGAAAAGGGCTTCATTCAGACTTGGATAATCCACAGGTCCAGTATAGACAAGTACAACTCTGTGTTTTCGCCCTAATTATGGAATATTGATATTGTATTTATGTACTTATTATATTGAATAAAGGAGGAAAAACAAAAAAACAAAAGTGGACTTAGGATTGTAGCCTGTGTAATTCCACAGGGAACATTTCGAGCTGAAAGGGTTAGAAGAATATTGCTATATGAACTATAAAAGTCTATTTCTGTTGATCCGTTTGAATTAGAAGCCATTTTTTCACCCAGTGTTGCAGTTTTGGGCGGAATACTATTTTCTGTTTCTTACACTGGGCTATTTCATGTCGCAAAAGGTCCTCCTGGTTGTACCCCGTTGTTCAAATGGCTCCTCCCGCAGTTACAGTAATCCTGTTGTTTGTTTCCTCCCTGAGCCTAGCAGCGCCGGGCCGTCACAGTCATGCTGTTTACACAAAACTCCTCCAGATCCTGAGAATGGACGGACACATGCTTCACATCACGCTTTCTAATTGAAGTTGAACATAAGACATGTGGCTGGCTTCAAGAGAGTATGTACCCGCTGAAGTTATTTTAAGTCCAGAGGCAATAGTAATGTGATTTTTTATGTCAGACAGAAGTGGGCACTTACGGAAAAGTTTGACAAATGTGTAACGTCCAGTGGCTTTTGGACAGTGTTTTCAAATCTCACTATGCCTCTCTGATTATAGTAACTTCTGTGAATGTATTTAAATAGCAAAGGGGGAATTTATGTGGGCTTTTTTTTCATATATTTGGTCTAATGACAAGGGCAGTTTGGGCTGTATACTGCACCAGGCCGCACTACATGCTGGGATTCTTCTGTTTCCAATACTAAAAGGGCGAGTAAAGGCCTGGATGTTCCTCGATGTGATTGCCAACTTCAGGGCATCAAGCTCCCATCGACCATATATTTATTGCTCACCACAGGAAACGTCACTCTTCTTCTGTGGTGAGCAGTAAATATATGGTCGATGGGAGCTTCTGAGTTGCAACAACCTCTTTTACATTTTTCACATGTTGTACTCATCTGGCTTCGCACGCTCCTTTAAAATCGGATGCGTGTATCACTCCTTCATACTCATATAAAGAACCATGATCATGATGATGTCGGTTTCTATGAATAATGTGGCCATCAAGTTTGTTTTAAATTAGCATACTTCTGCATTGAAATTTTGTTCAGAAAAAAAATCACACATTCATTGTATTTCCTTTATGTGGATGGGAAAGTGTGTAACAGCAGCAGCTGTTCACACCAGATTGTAGCTACGTCACTAATTTCCATCTGTAGTCCCACATTCACACTCATTCAACCTATTTACATGTGTTTTAGAGTCATACATGTCAACCTGGTTTCTGGGAAGAGAGATAAAAGACAAATCTTATTACTAACTGTACCTTTAACACAACATTGATCAACTGTAGTTGTTGTATTTCATTGTGTGTCAGCAGTGATGCCACACATGTGCCTCGCAGCCAAAACAATGACCCATTAGACCATTTTTTGCAGCTCTAAATTGTTTTTCAATTATTATTAACTCTCAAGCCTTTATACGTTCTACTTACATAGCACTTTTTGTGGGTGAGGTGTTTTGTCTCAAGACACTTTACAGCCGCAGCCGCCCTACTGGGGCATCTGCTGTTCCCAGAGTCTCCCAACACGGTGGCACTGCCCTGCTTAGCTCTGTTTATCTGTTTAACAGGACCAGGTTTTCACATGCATTGATGTAGGTGGTTATTATTCTGCGATCATGGCAGACATTATTTTACAGATAATTTTCTTGAGAAAATGTAATTGAATGTACATTGAACCCAAAATGTAATAGTTGACCTATCACTGAACAATAATCCATAATCCTTCCTCGCTTATTATCTAAATTGTTAAATTATTATTCATATTTTATCTGTATAAATACAACCACAGATGTAAAAGAAAACAATGGAGACTTTGGCCCATGGCCTTAAAATTATGTCAACCGTCAATGAGTTTTTTTTCTTATATTATTAATCCAAACATGCACCCACCAAAATAAGTTTGTCATCCCATTTATATGTGTAAATATATTTAACAAATTACCCCAAGAATAAATGGCATTAACTATTTCTCCTCAAATGCATAAAGCACATATTTATAAACATTTAATACACAAAAACAAAATGACAAGTTTACAGCATAATCCCAACCGACCACCATCCTCCAAGAAAAGATGACATTTACACTCAATAAATACATATACAACATGAGTAAGCATATATGAGTTTTATAGAGAGCACTCCAAAGCAAATACAGGATCAATTCTCAGATCAAACATGCTTCACGGCCGTTTGGTTGTGGCTCCAGAGTGGACAGTCTGAGCCTCAACAGCCCTCTCATCAGAAGCTCTCCACATCGTCATGAATGGAAGAAGATAAACTCAAGTGGATACAAAGAGTTTAAGTACAGTAAGTGAGTAATAATACAGCTCCATCAGTTCAAACAGCAAACACACCCAGTCTCAGGGACAACAATATCATGTGGAAATGCATTGGTTTACTCTGGTTAACACTCCCAGAATTATGATACGTCGTTTTGACTGCTCTCATTCTAACCAATAAAAATCTGAGAAATCCTCTCAACAAAGGTTTAGCTTTCCATGAGATTTATTCCCTTTCAGTTTTTACCTTTAATCCCTTTTAATCAGTGCTAAAACTGGTAAATTTATTAGAAATACAGGAAAAATAGTTTGTTGAAAGGTGACCAAATACTACCTGCTGCAAGGAAACAATGCGTTGCTATGGTAACTATGGTCAGTTCTCTGAGGGAAACAAAACTGACTCAGCTCAGAACCAGACCAGGACCAGTCCAGAACCAGTCCAGAACCAGTCAAGAACCAGTCCAGGAACAGCACCTGGAGACACTGAAAATGGCTTTAGGTTAGAATTTAAATTTTAGTTCAAGGTAGAACTCCTGACAAAGTTGTGGCGACCAAAAATATTTCTTAAGCTGAGCAATCACACTTCCTAAACAAAAAACTTACTGCTGTGTTTGTCCCCAACATATTATTGAATCATAAGCAAAATTTAAACAAATAAGCGTGATGACAGTGCTTATATTCTGAGACTGGGTTGTGCTTTTGACCACACATTCACGTGATAAGTGACACACAACAATACACAGAGTAAAGTTTTTTTTGGTGTTAGAATAGATAAGATTTGGGCGTATGTCTCATGTGGCCTGTCTACCCTTTCTTCTTTCCCTCTATATTTATGATAACCTTTACTGACTTTTTAACAAGGGAACTTTCAAAAGTCAAACAAACTATCACATCTTTGCAGAGATTGCCTCTGATTTAAAAGCCTGCACTGTATCATAGCATGTCACCAAAAAGTTTTTGTTTTTTTAATGTAATATAACAGTAACTTAGCATGCTCGTTACAATACATTACGGTAACAGCAAAACTCTGAAAACTGTGAACAGCACAATTTTAAGAAAGTAAAATCAGGTGCAGTGCCTTTCAATTTCATTTCTAAGCAACTTACAATGGTAATGTAGTTATACCAATCATTTCTCACCATCACGTCAAAACAAAAATGCCCATATGAACATTACAATATTAAAGGGTGTACTTTGTGACCTACAGTATATTCAATCATCTGCTTGAGATTTTATTGCGAAAATGTGATAACAAACAGATATACTGTGTTATAGTTCCAACAGGTGTGAAATGTCAACCGTATGATCGCGACCAAAAATGCCATGTACAGTGTAAGTGTATTACATATATATTAGAACCAAAGCTCCTAAATCAGGCTCTCAACTGAACACAGAGCAAAGAAAATACGTTTTAAGATATGGTGAAATTAATGTAGTTGTTTTAAAACGGTACAGATACAACAAACTAAATACATGTCGTTTCTCGACATAAATACATGTCTCGTTTCTAGAGCAGCAGAGTGGAAATTACAAACGGGGATTAGACCAAACTGAGATTAGATTTTAGAAGTCCTTTCCCCTTGCAAATTCATCTCCAGGTCATCAATTGGTATTTAAAACATTTTAATGACATTTCTACTGCCCTTTAGGAGAAATGCAAAGTCACAGATGTTATTTTAAGAGGACAAGGAGGGGGACTTTTGTGAATGAATTCAGATGCAGCCATGGTCTACAGATTTTTCTTAGGATATTGTCGGAAGTATGAAGCGCCTGACAACATTCCAATCAAATGCAATGGAATTAAGTTGTTGTTTGTTTGTGTAGCTACAAAACAAAAATGTATGCAATAGTTCAAAACACATGAATATAAAATTAATTGAACTTGTATTGACCCCTGGCATTAATTGTCAGAAAAAAATCAATTGATCTAATCTAAAAAGTAATCATATTTTAATGTTTAACCTTTATTTGCTCATGTTTAAGTGCACTGAGTAATTGGGGAATTGTCCAACCTGAAAAACCTTGACATCATAATGGATATTTATGTTCTAACTCCATTCCAACCCAATAAAAAGGATTTTTCTCTTTTTAAGCGATAGTACGTAACTTTCTGCAGGCTTAAAATCATCAGCTTGATAAATATGAAGTAAAAACCACATTTTGGGACATTATACATGGGAATAGTTTAATGTCATGTTGTGGAACATTGTAGCCAAAGAAACAGGAGGAGGAAAGTTACAAAATGTGGCTTTAAGGTAGTTTCATGGGTGAGGATTTGGCCTATTCATAATGTATTGCCAACGCCAAGTCCACAGAAGAATTAAGTAAGTACGTTTTTTTTTTATTTCTAACCCCATCTACATAATTCATCAATCTGTCACATAATTTGCATAAGCGGATATTAGCTTGTGTAATTTGTACAGACGTGAACCAAACAGTCGTCACAAATAACTTGTGATTGGATATTTATTAACAGTCATTTTCAAAAGAAAGGAAATTGCTTAATAATGAGTTATACAAATTGAAGAATCTATCAAAAGACCAAATTAACCTTCTTGTACTACAGACTACATCAAATGAAGAATATAACAGAGCTATCTTTCCATCATTCTAATGTTGTTCTATTTTTATTTTTTTTAATCTAATGTATCAAAATGAATTAAGACAGTAAATAGCTGAGACACTGGTACAAAATCCTCAATTGTGAAATATATTTTTACTCAAATGTTTAAATCATAACAGAATGCGACCCTTTTTAAAATGACCGGCCCTGCCCTTCCTCTTCCTCTCTCCCACAGCGCCCCCTAGAGCTCTGTTGCTTGGTTGGTTACGTCTTTAGTTGGTCAGGTCTTGGTAGAAGTCAGAGCGGAGGAAGCGGCTGAAGGAGTCTTTCTCCATCAGGGCATAGATCCTCTTCTGGGCCACGTCGAAGGTGGAGGGGGAGAGCTCCACCAGGTTCCTCAGGGTCACGTCTTTAGTGAAGTGGTCAATGTTCACCTGACAATCCAGAAAGACACATCAGTAATTGGCTCACCCTCAGTTTTATGCTAATGTGTCTTCTAAGAGCATGTATCTATTTGATTATTTTCAACAATCCCACTAATACCCACTAATTTTGAACCTCGGCTCACTGGAGCCAATTCCCTTATATGGAATTTTTTTCACAGACTTAAACTGCACATTGAAGTGCAAAATGGATCAAATCTTAAACCGAGGCCTTTTTTCTGATTTATATATATTCTGTTTGATAGTATTATCCGCCAGTGAGATATCTGTGATATAGCGTTATCTCTCAATGTCTGCAAATACAGGGTTTTAGATTTATCTTTGACAGATTGCAGCAAGACAAACTTAATCCTCACTTTCTCATATGTTCTTCACATTTTAATTCATCTCCATGCTTAGTTTGCAAATCAAAAGACACATGAGCAGTGCACTTTTTGAGTATTTATTATATTCAGAACTATTTTGCACAGCCTAATACTAAAACTTGACAATATACATCGTACACTATACTTTGTTCGTCCAATAACTTGGTTTTGTAGCTTGATGTTTTGTGGGATGGTTAAAAGACATAACAGGGGAAAATATGGAAGAAATAATGAACGTGTCTGTTCAGTGTTAGACTCAGAGCTGTCGCAGGAGTCTGCATCATGGCTATAAATGGCCAGCTATGCACCACAGCATACAATTTGAAACCTTTCTTTCCTATCTTCTGAAGTATCACGCAGCTAAAGATATATGCTCTTCTTGCTTTTTCTTTCCCATAGCCCTCTGTGGTCCAGTCTTCAGGTCATCACAGGGCCATATCTCCGTAACTAATTTGATTTGATATGTTTCATCTCCAGTGGACCCTTACCTCTCTGGGTCCCTCGCTCTGGATGAAGTCTTCATAAATCTTCTTGGCTTTAGCTGCCATTTTGACGGGGTTCTTTGTTTTCTTGAAGTCCTCACATGCCACCCAAAACTCAATGTTCTCATCACTGAACTCAGACTGCAGGAAACTACGGAACGCAGACAGACCATCTGAAACACATAAGAATACACACTATTTCTATTCTGTAAGGAAAGGTGAAAGTACCTGGGTCTTATACCCGGTACACACCGGCAGCAGCATACTCAGGCAACATGCGCACATAACTACTGCATGTTATTGATGTGGTGAAATTGGAAAGTTCATTTAAAAAGCATGTCATCCAGATTGGCTTTCTGTGTTACTTTTATATACATAATCAAGATTCAATTTCTAAAGTGAGAGGTTTTTTTCCATTAGTGATGGAAATAATAGGCTTAAATCAGCCAGAAATAGATATGTCTCAGTCTAAAGGCTCTGACCCATACGCCCAATTAAGACTAAGTGACAAGTATTGTGTGACAAGTGTTATGTAAGATGTGTAGATGCTGTGCTTTTTTACAGCCCTCCTTGTTGTGAGAGGTATGTTGACAAAAGCCATGTTGTGATGATAAGAAAAAATCAACACCAGCTTCATAGCAGTGCATAATTAAACACCCATGATTATAATCATAATTTGTATTATAATTTATCTATCAATCAGCCTTTCATACAAAAAGTAACACACAGGCATTCAAATCATAAATAATCACAGTACATTAAAAGGAGTCAATATAAACCCTTCAGTTGTATGCACAGCTAAATAGAACTGTATTCAACCTGGATTTGAAAGTTGACAAAGTAGAAGCCTGTCTCACATTGTTAGGAGAAAAAATTATATCCCTCTGGGCAATTCATCCTCCCAGGAGCAGTGGTCAGTACAGTGCCCAGGGACCCTTCTCCAGATGTTGATGCTCGGCTTGGGCAGGACTACCAGAGCGGGGGATTTATTGTATGTTTTTAGCGGTAGGGAAAACTGAAGCACCTGGAGGAAACCTACAGAGAACATGCAAACTCTGCTCAGAAAAACCCTGCTCCGACCAGAATTCGAACCGAGGAACTTCTTGCTGAGAAGCGAGAATGCTAACCACTTAGCCAACGTGCGGCCAAATCAAAACTGATTGATAATGTTTTTAAAAGGTCATGAAGACCGATTGATATATTCTAAGATTTATCAGTCCCACTTACATTCCAATACATTTTTTTTATGAGGACGAATATTATCCGCTTGCTTCTGGGGTTTATCTTCAATTTTTACTTCAATGTAGTTTTTTATTAACAGCTTTCAAACATATTAAAGCGCCTCCGGATTCCTCTTGATGGTGATAAACTCAGTGCTGTGTTATTGCTTTTCTAATGATAAACAGTGTTATTTTAAACAACACTCTCAAAGTGAGTGACTAGTCGCTTGTCTGTAATAGTTCAATTAAGTTTTCTGACAATTACTGCTAAAAAATACTCCTTATCTCAGAATGTACCGGTGTGTGATCCATTGAAACTGTTATAAGAAACTACTCTGATCTGACAAAAAATATATATTTTTACAGCTCTCCCTGTCTCTTGTCTCTCTTCTGCTGCTGCTGTGACATAATCACAGACAAAGGCAGCAGACTGAGCCTGGGTTTTGGGTGATGAGGCTGATAAGGCCACAGTAGCGACAGGAGCAGTTATCTGGCATCTGAACGACTAGAGCAGGACAAAATGGAGTCGCAATCAAGAGCCAATTATGTGCGTTTTTATTCCTGAAATGATAAAGTATCAACACAAAGTAATTCGGTAGAGAGGCTATTCAAAGTGCCCAGGTTATAAAATCAAATTCATTTGTCACTTACACCCCTCTCCGAACGTAAACCCTTGGAAAAAAGAGAGGGGGATGCTATAGTTTAGTCAGGACTGAGTTCTGTTCAACCAGTGCACTGAAGTGCTGAGAAGGTTCTATTGATAAGAAAAAAATGTAAAGAAGCTAGTACTGATGAATTACCTGACATGTTTCGGCGGTAGAGGTTTGTCAGAGGTGAGAGTGGAAGTCTATCGCCGAAACTTGTCAGGTAATTGAGCAAGACCAGCTTGAGAAGGTTCTTTTGATAAGACAAAAATGTAAAGACATTTTTGTCTTTCATTCACCGTCGTATTTTCACATTCTCATTCAGTGCACTTAAATGTATATAGGAAGATTTTTTTTCCTGCTCCTTCTCAGGAGCACGTACATTGTTGCATATGTTTTGTTTTTTTTAAAGTGGAGAGGGCAGTTCTTTCCTAAAATTCTGGAAAATCCTCCTATTTTCCTTTAAAGGTTGTACCACAGGTCTAATTACAGGTGTAACAGGTCTGCTCATACAGCGTGTGCTGTGAAGCCTCTCACAGAGGTGAGTTCGACCAACGTTCACACGACTTTCAGGTGCACTAGGATTCCCCAAATTGGAACCAGAGGGGTTTCAATGTCCTTCTAAGTGGTCGAGAGCAGTCTTCCCATCTCATTGAAATCTGCATTATTATCCTGTCCTGTGAGCCAGATGTTATAGTCAGTGCTATAACATCTGCTCTCTACATCAGTAAACTACTTCTATACTGCATCTAAAAGTGTTTTCATTGAATGGCAATTAGCAGCAAACAGCTTACTGTGCCAATAGCCTCCATAGTCTCATTAGTTTGAAGTAAGAATAAAAGCAGAAAAGCCACCCACATCGCTGTCCCATCGGCCCCCTGTGTCTGGAAGCTCACATCTGTTTGGATCGTGTTTAGATGCTCCTCACTCTTCAGTAATAAAGACTCTAAACACAGAACAGGACCCACGCATGTGACGGATAACAGAAGATAAATGAACCATGCTCAATTTATTCCACTTATTTAAGGTCAATTTGACATTTACTGTAAAGTCATCAAGGAACACTGTGTTTTTGAACTAACCTCACTTATCAGTTCAGCAGCGAAAATCATAGTTTCTTTGCAACCAGCTCACAAAAATCCACCAGCTCACACAAATCACAAATTTTCCCTGACAACTAACAAGCACAACCTGTGTTTCTGTCTAAACGTTTCCGTCTTCTGACCTTGTTATCACTTCTCACTCCTTCTCAACAAGTCACATGCCTTTCAGTCTGAAAGTGGTTTGAAGTTCTCAGATTTTTCATTGTGGTTGTAGTTTTGAGTGCTAATCAACTAAAACTACATTATTATTTATTACTATGATTTATACATTATAGATTATTATACTAATAGGTCTGCTCCTTATGTCACTGCAGCAGCACTGAGGAATGAATCTACATGTATATAATAAGTATAATGTAAAATATTCTCAACCCTCGCTAGTGTATTATCTGAAAGTGCATGTTTTAGGAGCTTTAGCAGCCTTGGGTTGAACATTAGGTATCAGTTTCTGGTGGACAAAACCTTAAGGACGATGCGTTTTGAGAATCAAAAAATATTCAAATATTTGAAAGGACATTTACATTCGCTTTAAACTAAAAATATTGATCAATGGCAAAGGAATAATAAGGATTGTCCATTCTAAAAATAGGTCGTAATCGCAGCATGTTCTGATCTAGCTTCCACACGCAGGTATGGCCACATGCTTGTACGGCTCATTTGTAAGTCCATTTAATCAGAAGCCATCTTGTAGCTATTTCAGTAATGCCGGCAAAAGCAGATGTGTTTGAGTAGAAGTGATACATACAGCTGTGGTTGAGGACCAGGTCCAGACTCTCACGCCACTGGGCCGCCTCCTCTGGGGTCGGCCTGGAAACAGAGATCAACATGTGTCAGTGAAAGAAAAACACTAACAACAACAACAGAGCCTGTTGTTAGTCCTGGGTAAAGGTGCACTCACTCTGGTATGTATATGTCTAAAGTGCTAGGATGTTTCTACACAGTGGCTAAATGGATAGAACTCTCGCTTCTCTGTGTTGTGTTTTATGTCTGTCGTATGTGTATTTTCAATGTAGGAGTCTGTGAGTCCAAGACCAATTTCCTACGGGACATAATGAGTTAATCTTGAATCTTGAAGAAGGTCCTGGGTTCGGTCGGAACAGGGTCGGAACAGGGTCTTTCTGAGTGGAGTTTGCATGTTCTCCCTGTGTCTGCATAGGTTTCCTCCGGATGCTCCAGTTTCCCCTACCACTAAAAACATGCGGTCTTCACAAAGCTGAGTATCTTAATATGGAGATGGGTTCCCGTGCACTGTACTACGGCAGAGGATACATTTCTGTATGGGGACAATAAAGTGCACATGCACATTTAGTCATACCAATGTTGCCTATCCGGATTGTTGAGTGGCTTTTATTTTTCAATTGGAGTTATTGTTGCTGTGTCGATGTGTCCCCACTCACGCCACTTGCACAAGAACATTTGAGACTCTCCTTGAACACTGTTTGCAAAGCCCTAAATTGATGCTGCAAAACACTGAGGATCTCACCTCACATGTCATCCATCTGTGCAATAATTTGAAATGTTGCATGTACAATATGGAACCACTTTACTAAATCACTTTAGCCCAGAACCTACTTGTGATGCAACACCGAATTTCTCCACTGTGGGACAAATAAAGGATCTCTTAATTGTAATCTGAAATCCATTTGAGATTCCCTTAAAAAGAATTCAGCTCATGGAGGAACTACTTGAATGAGACTTGTGGCGGAGACTTGAGGGAGCTGGATCGAAAGGTTGGCTTTATTGGTCCGTCCATGTTCCTTCCCTCACCTATGGTAGTGAGATTTGGGTAATGATAGGAAGAGAAACAAGCGGTCAAAACGAGTTTTCTCTCATAGACTCATGTTGAGGAGTTCTGTCACACAGGAAGAGCTCGAAATAAAGCCGCTGCTTCTTCACGTCGAGAAGAGCCAGTTGAGGCTGTTTTGGATGCCTCCTGGACACCTCCATGATGGGCATGCCCCACTGGGAAGAGACCCTGGGGAAAACCCAGGTCACAATGGGGGGACTATGCCTCTCAGCTGGCCGGGGAACGCCTGCAATTTGCCCCGAATGATCTTGAAGAATTCTGTGAGAGAGGGAAGTGTGGGTGTAGGCTAAAATAGTTGGAGGGATATTGGAATCTTAATCCAATAATCTTACGAATATTCTCAAATTATATAGTAGTAGTAGTTGTTTATTTTCTTTGGCCATTACTTACATAAGATCTCAGGTTACATGGTTTCAAAGATCGTATATACATTTTAAAATAAGAACAAAAAAATAACTAAACTGTGTCCATTAACAATTTTAGTGCTAAACAATGCCCAACCAAAAAGGGGTTTAAGGCTTAAGTTGAGACTTATACTGCCTATACTTCTGAAAAATATAAACTCAGATTAGGTATAATAACCTGATTTGTGTGGATTTACGGTTGTGACTTTTTGCAATGTAATGGTCTTTAATCTGTTATATAATCCCATTTTTCTTTGTGTCTAACATAACCCACATCGACAAGCAGCTATGTCATTGTTGTCATTCCGAAAACACCAAAGGCATCAGAGACAAAAAGCAGAATCACAAACCCCAGCTCAAGTAACAGAGTGAAACCGTGAGAAGCTGCAATAAGGTCTGGAGTGCTTCAAAGAACTTTCAACGTGACTAAATATTTGAATATGATTAACGGTGTCCTGTGACCCACTTTTATCTTTATTGCTACTTTGAAGAACCTTGTATAGAAATACATACATCATACGCAATTTTTCTCCTGTGAATCAAATGCAGTCTACTCTGATATGCTTTATGAATTTAGTTCTGTTTTGAGTTTAGATTAGCCCTTCAGCATCTGGTTTATGTTTGCTGGTTTACGCTTTATATCCCTGGGGCATGGATGAATATATTGTCGGTATAGAAAAATCCAATACTTTTAATACTACTAAGAAGACAAGATGAATATTCCTAAACTATACAGGATGAGGTGATTTGAGGCAAGGCAATTCAAAGTGCTGAACACAATAAGAAAGCATTTAAATCATAAATAATCACAGAACATTAAAAAGAAAGATAAAAATATAAAAACCCTCAGTTGTATGCACAGCTAAACAGAACTGTCTTTAACCTGGTTTTAAACATTGTCAGAGAGGAGGCCTGTCTCACATCTTCAGGAAGATTGTTCCAGATTTTAGCGGCATGAATCTGTAAAGCTGCCTCCCCATGTTTAGTTCTGACTCTGGGCACTAACAGGAGTCCAGTCCCTGTGCTTCTCAGAATCCGGGCTGGTTCATATGGGACTAACATGTCACTAATATATTTTGGTGCGAGGCCATGGACAGACTTGTACACAAGCAGAGCTGTTTTAAAGTCTATTCTCTGAGCCACAGGAAGCCAGTGCAGAGACTTGAGGACTGGACTAATGTGGTCGTACTTCCTGGTTCTAGTCAAGACTCGAGCTGCTGCATTTTGAATGTACTGCAGCTGTTTTACAGCCTGTTTGGACAGACCTGTGAGCAGGCCATTGCAGTAGTCTAACCTACTGGAGACAAATGCATGGATAAGAATCTCCAAGTCTGCTTTAGACACTATGTTTTTGATCCTGGCAATGTTTTTAGGTGGTAGAAAGCTGCTGATGTTACTGATTTGATGTGGCTATTAAAATGTAAGTCTGAGTCCAGTATTACCCCTATATTTCTGACCTTGTTTGAAGGTTTTAGGGAGAGAGACTGTAGATGACAGATGACGCTCTCTCTTTGTTTTTGGGGACCAAAAACAATCATTTCAGTTTTGTCTGCGTTTAGCTGAAGGAAGTTGTTTTGCCTCCACTCACTGATCTGTTGGATACAGTGAAGGAGTGAGTCCACTGGTCCATGTTCTCCTGCAGTCAGTGAGACATAGATCTGAGTGTCGTCTGCATAGTTATGATAGGAAACTTTGTTTCTGCGTATTAACTGACCTAACGGCAGCATGTAGAGATTGAACAGAAGAGGTCCCAGGCTCGACCCCTGTGGTACTCCACAGGTCAGGGCCATATGATCTGAGACACAGTTTCCAATCTCCACAAAGTACTTCCTGTCCTCAAGGTAAGACCTAAACCAACTTAGGGCGGTGCCAGCGACACCAACCCACTATGAAATGAAAAACGAATTGCTGTTTGCTCCATTGGCTGTAAGACTGTATGACAAATGTGCCTGAACTGTACTGAACATTATCAATTTTGTTTGTAACTAATGTATTCATTTGAGTTTGATGGTTGTATTTCTATGCTGACAGCTTTCTCTGGTCATGGCTCCGACTTCTACCTGAAATTTAAGTCCAAGCATTTTAAGTTTGAACATATTTTGAAGAACATTCCTACATAAGACACATCTCTAAAGGCTTAATGAATAGGATCATTCTGTCAAAAATATTGACAAAATAAATGAATTAATCAAGAACAGAATGAAAGAAGAGTGCTTAATGTAAGTCTAGATCCACATACCATGGAAGACAGAATAAAACAAATACTCAGAATCAAAGTGGAAAGTCTGTTGTCACAGACAAGACTCAATAATGTCCCTGTATACACAGTGCCTGGACATGCTCCTGGTGAGACCTGAGGGACCTCCTCCCGAACCTGCTTCATCCAATCACAAAGTTAGATGTGCTTTCTGCATGTAAAGTCTCCCCAAGTTGTGAAATATATGTAACTGCTCTCTGTTGTTAACTATTTGTCAACGTGGCGCTGTGTCGTAGTGTCTTTCTGTGCATAGGTTTTAGATTTTGTAATGGTTTTTATGTTTCGAGTCAAGAAACTTAACTACGTACATCGTCTATATTATTTCTGGACACCCCTTCAAGCGTTTCTGCAGGACATGGGGCAGAGACATGATGCCGTGGCAAGAGCTCTGGTGTGTACTATCTGCTCTGTCTGGTGCATATTGGGGAACTCTTTTATAGTTATTCCAATCGGGTTATGCTGCAAATGGCAAATAAACTGAAGCTCCTGAACACGCTGTGATGCCATAGGACGCTGGTCGATGGACTAAAGAGGACGTACAGATGAACTTAATTGGATTCAGTGTAATTTTTTTCTCTCCGATGAGAGACCTCTCATCTCCAACCTCATCTTGTTTTGTTCCCTAAGTACATCCCATATGATTGCAGCAACTGTTTGCAAGAAGACATTATGGAACCTACATGTTTTAATGTACAATATAAAAAGTACATGTATTATTTGCCATGAAATAAGATGAATTCCCTTTATTGCCAAACATTGTCTTGGGAAATGTCTTCTCAAAGTCATAGAGAATTCAGTCACACAGATCTAACCTGTATGTCAACAAAATTATTGATGAAATAATAATGTAATATAATTGCAAAAGTAATGGTATAGGTTATGTATTACTTTGAGAAAATAAACTTTGGGAAAATAGACTTTCTGAAGACTGTTTTTCTGAGGTACCTGTACGATCCTCCCTGATTGACTTGCCCTGAGAGACCTCTTTGATATCGGACCTTTTTGAAATGAAAATCTGTTATGGAATGAAGTCAATGAAAACTCTGCTTAACTCTCCAGGGTTACTTTTTGGTGTATTTGGACGGTAAGTACTGCATTGGGTGAGATTGAGTGACGTGATCTCATACGGATGGATGTCAAAAGCAGAGCAATTGAAAGCCCAATGAGAACTTCTCCATCTTACTTATGCTATAATTCAAAGAGATTCAAATGTGTCTCATGTTTTCTACACATATTGTACAGAAACCTTAAATGTATAGCAGTAATAAACGCTGTTACAAGTTGTACGTAGGTTTGATAACACAAAAAAAGACCTGACACACATATGCTGTAAATAATCTCAGCTAATACAAGACAAATGTATTGCAGCCAAGAAAACATGTGTGATATTCCGTTATTCCAGAATATTTTTGTGTGCATTTGTCTGGATGAGGGATGCCAGTAATTTGTTTTTCCACAAAAAGCTAACAATAAAATGAAATATGAATTGATTTGTAATGCGGATAATGTTTCTATTTTTGGGTCTTTTTGAATGTGTTCTGTGGCTATATCTGTGGTTTTATCTCTGGTTATATCTTTGGCTATAGCTGCAAACAGTCTGAATGACGTTTATATCTTCTCTTTTGATCTATTTGCAGCATATTCGCGGTCATGTTTTTTTCTATTTTTTCATTAATAAATTACAAAACATATTTAATGTTTATATCATTCACATTGTGGTATTTCTGAGCTAAGTTATGAAACAAATAAACAGGAAAGTAAGTAAAAATGACGCTCAGACTGTCGAATTTCCCAGTCACCCATTTCACCGCTATTATTAAAGACTACCGTTACATCACCTACCATAATAGAGAAAAAACATATAGCTTTTTAAATTAACCTTATTTCATCGTGCTCACTCACTTTTGGACTTTCTCCGGTTTCTTCTCGCTCTTCTCCGGGTACGGAATGATCAGGTCGATGCCATTGTCGGGCTTATGCAGCAGCACGCCCAGTTTGGACTTGATCCCCTTGGCTCTGGTTCAAACACAGTCACCAGTCATGAGAAACAGTGCCACATAATAATACAAACAATATATATACAAGACATTATTATTATCATACTAACACGGGGAGAATATGCAAACTCGATACAGAAAGGTGGAATCAAACCCAGGGCCTTATTGCTGTGGTGCCAATACCAATTCCAGTCCAATATCACACATTGTCTATGTATCTGAAGATTACAATAGATATGAAACTATAGTGGATTTCTCTTGAGTTATTATATTTGTACTATTTTTTCAAGTCTGGGGTTGAAAGTGGAAAGTAGAAAGTAGAAAGCCCACATTAGTGAACTAATTTGAAAGTGTATTTTCCAAATCACAAATTTAGTGTTTAACAAAGTAATATAGTCATGAGAGAAAATGAGACAGAGGCACTAGGATGCAAATAGTTCTGGTTTTAATTTACCAAAGTGTTTCAACATGCTGTTTTCTCTCTGTAAATAGGTGGTCATGCACATGGGCATTTGTTACGAGACCTGATGAAAACAGCACGTTGCAACGCGTTGGCAAATTAAAACCGGAACTCTTTGCATCCTACTGTATAGTGCCTGCGTCTCATTTTCTCTCAAGATATCCTACTTGCCCCACCAGAAGAGCACTGGCTTCTAACAACTTCTGATCCCCTGAGCACTCCTAGACTCTCCTTCTAATAAAGTTTTTACATCAACAAAAAAACAATAAATGAAAATACAATGTTTGCTGATGCTTAGAGACCAGAGTATTGGGGTTTGAAAGACAGAGCGTGAGGCCGTAAAAAGGCCGTATAAAGTGAAGCCAGTCCATGCTTTACTTTATATTCTGTTATGTGTGTTAAATAATACATCCCATATAATATTCTGGATTTAATCATGTTAAATATATGTGTGACTTAAATGTGAGAATTGTGAGTCTTGGCTGATTTAGCTTTTGACTTGAAAACAAATACTACTGCCACTACAACTATTTTGACCCAAGTTTCATGTTTGGATTCTGTGTTGGTTACGCCGTGCTCAGGCAGCTTAACAATCTCCTGATAAGTCACGAGCACATTTGACATCACCTCCAGAGAAACAGCAGCACGAGGAAATGTTTATAGAGAAGTGTAAATAGGCCTAAGATCAGTATATGGTTCTCGCGGCATCTTCTCTACTGTGTCCAGTTCGCTTTGCTTTGTTCAGTCAACCAATGTGTTTTAATTGTAAAGCACATTTAAAAGCAGCTTAGGCTTACCAAAGTGCTGGACAGACAAGTGAGCAACACTAAAAACATAGAAGTACCAAATTATGTACATTTGCAAATTAAAACAAAAACTGGTCTCTTGCTATTTGGCGTTGAAAGCCAGAGAGAAAACGCGCTCAGGCAGGAATTTAAAGTGCTTGTGCGATTCCAATTTGCAAAGGTTATATGACGCAAGTGTCTGTTTTAGCAACGTTTTTAGCCGATGTTGCCACCATTGTTGGCTGCGTGGTCTGTGCTCAGGGGGAGACTTCCCTTGTCCTTTATTGGCCGTGACTTCTAACATTTTCCTTCAGGTATTTTTCACTTACAGAGTCAACTGCAAATTTGGTCAAAAAAGCTACTGGTGCATGCTCTCAATGTTGTCACTGGAAGCCTAACTTTGTATTTAAATAAATGTATACTCTATGTAATGTACTTGCAAACTGTTAAACCGATCTAAAATCCTCCTCTTGTATAAATCAGGGGTAAAGTCTTGTATGTTTTTTTTTATATTATTTTCTAGCCAAGCAGGAGCAGGTAGCTGGTACTATTCACTCAATGGCACTAATCTGAGGAGTTTCGGCCTGGATATGACCTGAGCTCTGTGGTATGCAGTTTGACTTCAGCAGCTTCAAAGCCTCTCACACATTTCCCAGGTTGGACACAGCTCGCTCAGTCCAGGTCCTGCTTTGTAACTGTGGCTGTTATCTTAATAAGGATCACATGTATGTCCAGATGTGAGTCTCAATTACCGCTATGTTACTGTGTTCTTTCTCAGGGAACCTATTAAATATTTTTGCATTTTATTAAGCACTTACAATTTATTGCTGCTTTAATTAAAATATCAAAATGTACAAATGAAAGACATTCACTTTCGAAAGTGCGCCATACAACTTTCCTGGATTTCAGCTTGGATTCATTTCAAATGTTGCTGTTTTGCCTGGAATATGAGGCTACTTTACAACATCATGGGGTGGAAAGCCAACCAAATTTATTAATTCTGGTTTTTGAAATGAAAAAACATTTTGAAATTAAATAATATACACGTTCTGCTGAAATACATTCCAAGCAAAGAAAAAATCCCATCCAAAAAGTTGTTTGATACACCTGAACAAAACAGAGGAAAGCTTTTGTCGTGCATGGTTTAGTCCAACGTGCTGGTAGAATTACTTAGTTAAATTTTCAAAAGTCTATTTTAAAAAAATCACCCGAACAACCTGATTAACAAACACAGGCACAGACGTTTATGTTTTTGTATCTTGATTTACCAATTGGCTTAACCTCAATGAATAAAGATACAATCTACAGGTACAATTTTCTTGAGACATTTTAACAAAGATTAAAAGAACAATTTTTATAAATAAATTTCCAGTAATAATTCTTCACCTACTGTAGGCTGTTAATTTAAATATTTGTGAATGCAACCATTTTTGTATAAAACAAAAGTGAAAAAAGTGATCTCCTCAATCCAAAATTTTAACAAAAGTTACATCTAAACTTTTCTATCTAACTGGAGTTGACAGAGCTTTGGCAATACATGTTCTGTTCTGTGATGGACACACAAACTTGTACCTGTTCAATTACAATCATATACAACTGTTCTGTCATCAGTCATTTTTATCGTTCCAGGTGCTGCAGCACTCACCTTTCAATGCATGTCTGTGGCAGCGCAGCTAATCCTTTACACATCTTGCTTGCGTGTTTTGTTTCCTCTTTTAAGTCAGTTTTGCAAAGTTCTCTCTTTCGGGTCTTTGGTTTGTCTTCTGAATGCGTCCGTCAGCCGGAGGGGGTTTTATAAAGTCGGCCAATGGCAAAGAGCCAGGGCCCGGACCAATCACAGCAGAATGTCCCAGGGACTTAGAAGCAGGAAAGGGTCGGAGCTGTGTTTGCTTTGAGCTTTTTCATCAGCGCCAGGCCTGCAGCAGGATGCACTTAGCACGGACACAGGGCAGACGCGCAGCTTCTGAGCCCCAAAAGCTAATTTGTTTGGTTTAAATCAGCGGCCTAGGCGACGGTAAAGCAGCAGTGCTAATGTCATCAGCTGCAGTGTCGGTGACAGGATCCACAAAGACAACAGGGGGTGGGTTGACCTTGCAGTGTCAGGTTTTTCAATAAGTATGCCCTGAGTACTCTTATTTTCTCCTTTTATTCTGCTGCAATTGTGCGCAACAATGACATCGAAACTGAGGGAAGAATTAAGGTTTATCTTATCTTAACTGACATAAACCAATGATAATGCTCAAAGATTTTCTTGCCACATCAGCTTGTCATGGCCTTCTTGTCTCAGAAGCAAATTTGTGTGGAGTCTGGTTATATTATTCTACAGATGCGTTAAAGCAAAAACGTTGTGAGTTCGATCTCGTATAGGCCCAGGCGACTGTGTAGAGTTTACGTTTCTCCCTGTCTCTGGGTGGGTTTCCTCTGGGCGCTCCAGTTTCCCCAACCACATAAAACATGCTCCTGACAGATTGTCAGCGTGGGTCAAATGCAGAGGACAATTTCCTTATGGGGACAGTAAAGTCCTTATTATATCAATAACCTTATTTGGTATAGTCTGTCAGGGGCCACAGAGGGACCCATTATATGATATGAATCAAGCACGTGATTGTTGAAGGGGATGATTGGCAGCCCTGGCAGTTCCTTCAGTCTACCCCAGGGCAATTGTGGCTACAGAACTACAAGAGTCGAGTGAAAGAGACATGCAAAGAACATTATCTTTGCGTAATATAAGGCAAATGCATTTTTTGGGAAAATTCATCCAGGCATTTGGCATGATTTAGGGAAAGATCATCTTAAACGCATAAAAAATAGTGAAAAACATTAAATAAAAGACATTGAATACAACTTCATAAAAAGGTGAAGGTCTCCATTCCTGTGTCTTGTGTGTTCCAATTCCTGAAGCAATAAAAGTTTCCAAATGTAAATCTTTATCCTTTTGTCCATTCAAGACTTAACTGAGTGTTTGTGCTTATAAAGTGTGTGAGACAGAACATTGAATATAAACACGTCTCTGTTGTTCTAATCTCTCCAGATGTTTTTCCAAGAATTAAGATTGAGACTCACTAAGAAGAAGCCCGTTATTTCTGGCTCATTACTCCAGACACTTGTCATTTGTTGAGAAGAAACAAAAACCACTAGTAAGTAAGTAATCTAGTAAGTAATCTTTATTTATATACCGCCTTTTTACTGCAGATCTGAGTCTCAAAGCGGTTTACAATTAATTATGAGCATTTATCTCTCACTCCACACAGAGATGGGAGCGGGGTCGCCGGTACAGGAGGCGCATGCCAGACATGCCTATTGGACATATTTTTAGTGGTAGGGGAAACCGGAGTACCCGGAGGAAACCTACGCAGACACGGGGAGAACATGCAAACTTCACTCAGAAAGGCCCTGGTCCGACCGGGATTCGAACCCAGGACCTTCTTGCTGAGAGGCGAGAGTGCTATCCACTCAGCCACCGTGCCGCCCTAGGCTACTAGGTAGTGTGGAAAAAAGAGTGGAAATGTTTGTGTATGCGCATATTTACACGTTTACGATTTAGTTTCCCTAGTCCAACCAGGCTACTGATGATTCAGCAAGAAAGTCAAAGGTTTGGATTGTAGTCGGAACAAGGCCTTTCAACCCGTGTCTGCATAGGTTTCCTCTGGGTGCTCCTGGCTTCTCCTTCCATCAATAACCTATATCATACTACCAGCTCCGGTAGTCCTGACTTAGCCAAGCATCAACATCTAGAGATGCCAATACTGTGGCGACTACTGTTCCTGACAGAGGCCCTATTGCAGGTGAGGCAGAGAGCTACTACTTTTTGCAGTTGTTAAAATCTAATAATTACGATAAACACGTGTAAAATACACCATAATACTGTATAACCCTATTTCAATCTGAAGAGACCAAAGACACAATTATTACATAAAAATATATTTTTTTGTTTGGCGCATTGACCCTGGCAGTGACACTTGCAGCGATGAGATCGATTGCAGCTGAAGATGATCTCAGATCCCCCGGGGTCAAGCACTGGTGGTGGCTAGAAGTATGGTGTGAATGGGGCGTAGGCGGAGCAGGAGCCTAGAGTCAGAGCAGGAGCCTAGAGCCAGAGCAGGAGCCTAGAGCCAGAGGGGGTGCTGGTGAGGTGGTGGGAGCCTCAGGAAGCGTTGCTTGTCAGGAAGTGGCTCACTTTTAAACTGCCCGTTTTACTGTGAGAGGGTTGGCAGGAGGCTGGCCGGGCTGTGTGATTGGCTGAGGCTCGAGGCTGGCAGAGCTGTGTGATTGGCTGAGGCTCGAGGCTGGCAGAGCTTTGAGATTGGCAGGCACTCGGTCTTTCAGTCTGAACATCCGCATAAGCTTCATATTTATAATTACAAAAGATGTGTAATGACTCAAAATGTATTCATTCAAGATCATGTATTAAATTCTAAATCCTTTGGGGAGCTACCTGAAAGGGGATGGGGAGCTACTGGAGGATCCCCAGACACAGGTTGGAGACCCCTGCCCTAGTGGAATTGAAGGAAGGATCTAAAGCAGAGAGAATTTTCCATACAAGAACAAGTCTACTTACCCTTATCTTTTTGAATCATCATTACCAAAGTATGACTATGTATGGCTAAGAATGTATAATATGACCTAGTACAATCCTCCTAATCCAATTGAAAAATGATTTAAATGGTGATGTAATAACACAACATTCTTTCTGGTAGAATAAGGTGAGACTTTGTTCTCATACTATATACTGAAATGTTATGATACTAATGTTGCTACTTTTTCTGACTTCAATTTTTATTCTCATGCAATTGCAATCATTAATCATTATACATTTGCTGAAGCTGCGGATGTAGTTTACCACCATCATGTATGGAGTGAGTGGATTATGAAATGTAAAGTGACTTTGACAGTCCAAAAAATAGATTTGTCTGCTACATTGGTTTAACAAAATCTTCATCTACCCACCATTACTTACAGAAAACTCCTATTACCTGAATATGACTTCTTTAACTCTCCCCGGGGCTGGTGCTCTGTGAATTAAGTGGCAACTGATTACCGAAAATGCATAGATGGATGGATGAATCTTCCTGCCGCTGTGATTGGCTCCAAGGTTTGTCCTGTGTATGTTCAGGAGGGCTGCAGTGTTCACATGGGGATGAAAGAGCAGCAGAGGTGAACCAGGCCTGGAGCTCCGGTCCGCCGGCTGTTCAAACAAACTGGAGCCCTGTAGGCAGGTGCTTTGTGTTCTGTGCTGACACACGGATACGCTACATTTATTAAGTTCATGAAAGACACGAGTGAGGATGAAAGGCTTGTTATAAAATCAGCAAGATCGAAGGACTTGGAGCTGTGGGTGGGTAATGAATGCCACTTTGACTTCCTACAAGACTGCATTTCTTTAGCCAATTTAGGACATTTTAAGAGAAAAATAAGCTAAGTCAAATAGATTGATAGATAGATTTTTATTTTTATTTTCAAACCTGCAGAATACAATTTCACATATCTTTACACTAATAAAGATTTGGAAAGGGGTTGGATGAAGCAGATTTTAATTTATCACCCACCCCCCTCACCATTCAACACAATAATACACAGAATATCAATACAAATTTGATCCTATGCAGCACATACCATAGTATACCATACCCAACCATGGGTGCAGACACACAAAACACCCAAACACACACACACACATGCACACACACACTCACACCCGGCCCAAACACTCTTTGACCCTACACCTCTCTCCCATCCCCTACTCTGTGCTGAGGGCCGTTCAGTGAAGAGCTGATATACATAAGACTGGCCTAGTTCTAGTTCTTAATGGCACAGTGTCAGGATGACCAAATATGTATCATGCTCGGCCAATGGGAGTGATTGGGAAACGTATAATGCTTGTAATGGCTGCTATAGTTTATCTCTGTTGTTAAGTGAACTGGAGCTTGTACTATTTTGAAGGCCACTGACTTGGAATCTGTAGTGTAAGAGTCAAGTTAGCTAGATGGCTCTGGGTGATTTGGGTGTGTGTGAGAGCAGTTCCTTTCTGTTACTCCAAGAAGGAACAATGGCAAATGTTTATCCACGTGAGAATAACACAGATGCTATCGCACTGTCAACAAGTGTGGGAACTTATAGAAATTGACATTTTTGACTGTTTCTTTCATTTCCCTTGGACAATTGACACAAAACCAAGATAGTAGATACTGTACTTGAAAGATGTCCAAAAGCAAAGATCATGTCCATCCCCTAGAAGCTCATGCTGTTTCTTTCACTCCCACAGAGATGATATAGACCCACAGAGAGGATTTAGACCCACAGAGATGATATAGACCCACACACTCTGCAGGGGGCAACTGACAGCCTGCTATTCTACTGCTCCACGTCATGGTTCGGAGACTGTGATCACAGGAAAACAAACCCAGTAGTTTGAGCGCCTTTCACATCTGCAGAGCAAAAACTACGAGGTCAGTGATGCCTGCCAAATAGAAAATTATATGGCTGTTGTTTTGCCATTAAAAGGACAATGAGACTATTGAGGCAGCAGCAATCTCACTCACTCGTATCCCTCAGTTTATTTACCAGTTTTTCCAGATAGAACAGAAGAAGACAAGGCTTTACTGTATATATGATGTGTGTTAATGTACATGGAACAGAGACTTGAGATATGAATGATGCTGATGTGTGTAGAAATACAGTTATATAATTAT